AAAGTTCATAAAAATAGATTGAACAATTTTTTTCTGTTTTGTTTTTTTCCAATTTCTTTCTTTATACAGTTGTGGAATCAGGAATGGTCGAAAAAAGAAGAAGAAGAAGAAAAAAGTCAAAATTGATTGAAAGATTTTGTCGCCTGTTATTTATTTTCGATGCTGCAAATAATATTTCGCACATTTGTTTTTCATCTTTGATTTTCTCAGTTTTGGGCGCCATAAATTTTTTTTCCGTCAAAATCACGGGAATTTTCGCAGATTCAATTTGTATTTTTTTTTTCTCTCTCTCTCTCTCTCTCTCTCTCTCGCATTGCAAAGATAGAAAATAAAAAGAATTTGAATTTGATTTGCGAATTTAAATTAATGATGCATAGTCACACATTATCGAAATGTGAATCTTTTTTTTCATTACCATTTTTGTTGAATTAGATAATGATTGGCATCATTGGAGTTTTTCTTTTTTAAAAAAAATGGTCATCATTAACTATTTTATTCACACTATACAATCATTGATTGGAAAAGATTTATGGATAAATGTATATAATTTGGATTATCATAACTACAAAAATGATTGTATGATGATTAATGATAAAATAATAATCTACCATAACACACACACTGATGATTCTATGATAATCAAAATTGAATTGTGTTGATATTTTGTGGATAAATGTTGCTGTTTTTTCAATAATAATTTTAAACCTTTGACATTGTATGAATATGCGATGTTTTTTTTCTCAAAAAAAATCATTATCCTCTACCTTGTTTATAATCATGGTCATCGATCATTATCCTCAACAAGAAAAAAAAAGTTATTTGTTGCTCAAAATAGATTGATGAATTTTTTTTTTGTTTTGCAGCTGCGTATATGATAAAGAAGAAGAAATTAATAAGTAAAAATTATAATTGATTAATTAATATTGAATATAAATTTAGTTTGGTTTGTTTTTTTTTCGGATAATGTTCATGAATGAATGAATTTAAAAAAAACAGTTTGAAGGCTAAGTGAGAGAGAGAGAGAAGGAAGTCAAAGAAGTAAAAATAGTAATAATTTTTAATTGATTGAAATGATTATCATCAAACATAATTAATTTCAATACTAAAAGTGTTCAAAATTTAGACGTGATGAAGATGATGATGACCCAGACAGAGAGATCAGCAGACAAATCAAATCAAAGATTGGTTGTTTCCGGATCTTATAATGTTTGTTGATATTTTGATTTTGATCTTTTTTTTTTGATCAAATTCATTTGATATTTCTTTTTACGGATTGACATTTTTCTTTACCTTGAATATTTATCTTTCGAATATCTTTTCTAGTTGGATTTTCCCCAACATCATCATCAACTATTCAGAAAAATGTAATCATTCAAATCAGTCGGTTTTCTTTCACACAACGTCAAAAGATTAGAATGAAAATATTGAAATATTTTTTGAAATTTTCAAAAAAAAACTGTAACTATTAATGCGAAAAAAAAGAAGAAGAAAAAAATTAATTAAGCAATTCTATCATATGATGATGTTAAGTGGGTCGTTTTGTGGTGGTCATTTCGTAGTGGTTGTTGTTGTTGTTGTTGTTGTTGTGGCGATGGTTAACCGGATAACTTGTTCGTAATCACGTTCGATATCAAGTAATCGAGTAAATATGATTCAAGTAAATACTATACTTGAATTGATAAGCTTCAAACCTATCTAAACTATAGTGATAGTCACATGATTCTCATTTTTTTTGCAAAGGTAGGTGGTAGGCGGTATTCAATTAACAAACCGAAAAGTTTATAATATTTTCCTTAAATTCGGGTCATAATGATAATGATAACGATGAAAATTTTTTTTCCCCGTAAGTTGTTCACCACTACCACCACCACCACCATCATCATCATTTAGCAGGCGAATCTTCAATGTCTAGATCTTTTTCTGAAGAAAATAAAAACATTAGCCGCCATTAAGATAGATGATGATATTAAAAATTGGAAACATTTTAACAAAAAAATAAAAATTTGGTTTTTTTCCGGAAGAAAATTTTTGTTTTATCCGATCGTTTATAAACCAAAAACTAGTTCTTCTTTTTAATTTTTGTCAAGTTTTGATTTGTCTCAATCATATTTTGCATATCATTATTTGTTTTTTTTCTTCATTACATAACTGTAGGTGTATTACCAATGAATGGTCATTTTTGTAAAAATTGAAAACAAAAAATTTTATTCATTTTGATTATAATATGGATAAAGAATTTTGTTTTGATTTTATATTGAATAACTATTGTTTGAAAAAGGAAAAACATTTTCCGTGAAAATATTTTTCAATATTCAAAATTATTTGGAAAAGAAAATTATTCATGAATTTTGTTTTTTCTCACTATTTACATTCAATCTTATTTGTTCATCGATTTTTTTTTTGAATTCAAATTCTTTTTTCATTCATTCTTTTGAAATTGGTTAAAATAGAATGTGTTCTATTGCTGTTTTACTATCCCCATTATTAAAAATCAAAGCAAAAAATGTTGAAATTTCGATTTCTAAATTTATTATTATTATTCTATTTTCATTATTAATATTTGAAAAAAAAATGAATTCCATTATGATTCTTGTTGTTGTTAGGTTTTTCATTTGTATTTGTCCGTTTTGTGTGTGTGTTTGTAATGACGATGTAATATTGACATTTAACTGTAAAATAATCTAATGTAAAATTTTAAAAAAATTTTGTTTTATTCATTCATCGAATGAATGAATGAATGTATGAATTCAATTTTCATTCATTTGAAGGAATTTATTTATTTTTTTTGGGTGAAAAAAAATTTCATATTTTTTTCAGTTTTGTTTGTCTTATTTTGGGTTTTCAAGTTTTGTATACAATAAAATTCTATTTTAGATCACCTTTTGTGTCTGTGTGTGTGCCATAGGTTTTTTGTGTTCTGAAAATATTTTCTCTTCTTAATATTTTTTGAGATTTTTTTCTTTTGCTAAAAATGATATTGACAAATTTCAGTTTCAATATTGATGAAATTATCAATGTTTATTTCATAAACATACACAGCTTGTCTCAATGATTATTCTTCAAAATTATAGATATTTTTCTTTTCCTTCAAAATTGTAATCGATTCAAGAAAATAAAATATTCTTACTGTTGGATTTATTGTTGCTGTTGCTGTACACAAATATGAAAAAAAAACTAAATTATTAATAACAAATTGTTTTCAACAACAAAAAAAAAACAATAAAGTAAGAGATCTGCACATCCAAATCAATGACATTAACACAATTGGAATACAAACACGCACATGTTTTAACGATTGCATTATATTGTCTTCATTTTCCAAACAAAAAAAAAAGAGAAAATTATATAAACAAACAAACAAACAAATTCTAGAATAAAGAATTGTTTTTTTTTATTTTTCGAAAGAGAAAAAAATAAATATTTGAAATTGTGTTCCATAACCCAAATCGTGCCTCGTTGTTCATCATCATCATCATTGCCAACAAATTTAATACAAAAATTATAAAGAATCATTAGCTATAGTGGAAACCAGAAAACCTTACAAAAAAAACGAAGAAAAAAAACATATATAGAATCCAAACGAATATCGAGGCTATAATAATATTATGCATGAAGATGCATGAAAAAAAGGCTTTTTTTTATTATTATTACTAAAAAATTTATATAATTTTTTTCAAACTTGTTTCATTTTCGTTCATATATTACTTATGGTGTTCCACAAAAAAAAACTAAATCTAAAAAAAAATGAAAATGAATTTTTGTTGGTTGAATGAGAGAAAACAACAACAACAACAACAACAACAACAAAATTTTACGGAAAAACTAATTAATAAAAATGTTTTTTTTTCATTCATTCTTTGCTCGATATCAGCGAAAAAAAGAAAAATAAAATGAATGAATGGAATAACAACAACAACAACAAAATTATTATTTTCTTGGTTCCATAGTGGAAAAAAGCCTAAAAAAAATATATACACAATGAAAAAAAATAGTCATTTATCTTGGTTTATCTTTGTTCGATATATGGTGGCAGTCATTGCCATATTATAACCGATAAAAAAAATATAAAACCCGTTTCACACACATAATGCCAATCGATTTTTTTCTATTTAATTTTTTTTCACATTCATTCATTCATTCTTAAATGGATTGTTCCATCCAGCTAGACTTTTATTTAAAAAAAAACCAAACAGAAAAAAATTTATTAACTGAATCAAGATCAATCACACATGGTAAATGTTTTTTACTTTTATTTTTTCGGTTATACAGATTTTTTTTCTTTTTCTTCCTCCTTTTTTTTTGATAATCAGAAAATTTATGGATTTCTTATTATTAGATTGTATTATAATGGTTATGTGTGCTTATTGCTGGAACTAATGAAAAAGTGTGTGTGTGCGTATACCCTTCCGAAGAAAAGAGATTTATTTAAAATTTTAAAAAAATAATAATTTCGTTCCTAAAAATATCTATCATTATTATTATATCACAGAACTTTTATCATCATCGTCATAGAAAGAGATAAATTCGTTTTAATTATCGATTCGTAGAATTTAAAGGAAAAACATTGAAAGCCAAATTTTGTTTTTGTGGCTAGATTTTTCATTTCAACATGAACATATTATATAATTTTGTTCGGATATTTTAATTGTTGTGAGATTCATTCAATTTATTCCTATTTAAATGTAGGTGTAGATTCTGTGTTTTTATTATTATTCATTACTCTATTTTGATTAATTAATATTTTTTTTTTAATTTTAATTCTAATAAAGATTGCTATTAAAAAAAATGAAAACCTCTACACTTTGTATAAAGCATTTTTTGCGTGTGTGTGTTCGTGAATGGAACAATCCATTTTTCATATCATTATATAATTTTTTTTCCATTGTATTGTCGTCATTATCGTTTACGTCATTTCGTATGCCGACATTTTTTTTAATTTGTTTTTTTTCAAGAAAATTCATTTTTTTAATAATTTTGGACAATTTTCTTTATTAAAATGAAGCTAAACCAACACAAAAAAATTTATTTGGAATTTTGATAGGTAATATGTTTACAAAAATGACGCCAATATTAGGCAATGATCTATTATTTCTCTTTATTAATGATAACTCATTGATGCGGTGGTGATTGGTATTGTTGAGATGTTGATGTTTGTGTTGGATTCATCAATCTTGCATCATCATTTGGTAATGGCCATGGATATAATGATGATGATGATTGTGGCACAAGAATTCGTCCTGGTTGTGATAACATTAAATGTTTATTCATGTTTGGATCCATAATCGACGAGTAACGAATCGGATAATTAGTTGAAGCCATTGTATTCGTCAAGGTAGCTGATGTGCTACTTGATTGTATTATCGAAGAATTTTCATGTCGAGGATAAAATTGAGCTATTGTTCCTGGATAAACCAAAGGATTTGATGGGCTAGGAAAATGCTGTGATTGTTGAATTGACTGACTAGAATTCGAATTCGAAATAGGATTCGCGGCTTCCTCTGGATTAGAAGGCACCGGTGTTGTTTGCGGTTGAAATTGCTGTGAATCAGATTGGATGACAACCGATTCCATATCAATGAATGTCGAAGGTAAGTTATAAATGGGATTTATCGGATTTGTTAGCTGTTTGGCTTCGGCTTCTGTTGTTTCTGAAGATGACTGAAGATTGTTAGAATCTGATTGGTCATTAGATTCGATTGATCGATCGATGGGTTGAGAGGATTCCAATGACATTGAGAATGGTGGAACTGGAGTTGAATTGTGAAATTGTTCTTCAGCGACAGATGAAACTTTTTGCTTTATAAATAAATCGTGTAAAATAATTAATGTACATGATAATGAAATCATTCATTTTCTTACAGCTTCGATTTCCTGGGGAAGAATTGTGGATGTGGATTCGTTCTTCACAGCTTGTTCAGTCGGTTGTTCAGATTTTCTCATTGGAGGCTCTATAAGGTCACAATACAAATTGGGAAGAAATTTATTGATACGATCCCAAGTGATCGATGCTAATGTTTCATTAAAACAACCGGCTGTTTTCATCACAAGTAGAATATTTTTCAAGGATTCTGGAATCGCCTCTTTCTATAAAAGAAATTTTATTATTTTCAAATTAGCAGAAATAATTAGTAAATACTTACCACCAACTCGGTTTGCATATCCGCTTTGATGTATTTTTCCATGAAATCCAAAATGGTAAGCCACAAAGCAGTAAATGTGGTCAACGTTAATAAAGGATTCAAGTGTTGTAAGAAAACTTTGCACAGTAAATTTGTCGTACGCATTCTAGTTTCATCCATACCAATGGGATCGCACATATTAATCGGTTCCAACAGTTTAGAAAGTAACGGGAAAAGAACCTTGTTGAAACAGGATTCCCATTGGTTAGCATTTAACACTTGTAAATCATGTAAGAGCAATGTTCGTTGTAGAAAAGTGAAAGCACAGGTTCGTACTGGTCGACGACAATCACAGCAAAAAAATGCGATTGCTTGAAGCAATGGACACCATATTGTATTCCACAAAACATCTGATCCAATCTGATCGCCAGCAATTGTTGGAGCATAAAGATGAAAATAATGCATCAAATCTAATAATTTCAGTGAAACATTTTCGGTCACTGATGTTATTTCCGATTTAACAGGCTGATCTTTTTGCTGTTGCTGCTGCTGTTGATATTCATCATCACTATCGGATTCACTTGATGACAGTATAGCATTAGTCAATCTAGACAGCCGAGATTTATTAGCAACTTTGGAATTCTTACTATGGCCAAAATTCGGTCGAGTGGTTGCAAATTGTATCTTAATGGAAGCTTCAACGAATCGATAAAGAACACCCACTGCCATCTGCGCGATTTCATACACATTGAATGAAACATTTTTCTGCATTGCTTTAGCATTATTGGGTAAATATTCTCTTATGATCAATACCATTATGTCAATACATTTTTCATAAGCCTCAGCATCCATTATTCGATATTGGTAGGTGTTGAATGAAAAAATATTCTCCGATAAATTCTTTTTGATATTTAAATGTGCAGATAATTTTCTTAGATCATTAGGTATGCTTGGTACCGATGGCGAAAAAACATTGGTATTAGGTGGTTCTTGCGGAAAATTTTTACTGCTTGCATCTGGCATTGACGGTGTGTGTGCTTGATGATGATGCATCGATTGCTGATGCTCAGGTGGTTGTCCAAGTTTTTTGTTAGGTGGATAATAACCGATTGAAATAGCTAGAATCAGATTGAATACGAGTGCCCATTGTTCATTTTTGGTAAGATAACAATTACAATGTAATATGAATGAATGCAATGTTAAAGCAGTGTGTTTACGTTGAATTGAATATGGATCAAAAAATATCAGAATCTGATAGAGAAGTAGAAAGATTTGATCATTCACTAAATCTGGTCTTGATGTAAACCGAATGGCCAAACGAAACACACACGAAATGATACGTTCAGTTAGATATTCGCTTTGTGGGCAATAACGCATCAATTTAATGATATGACGATAAATAAGATCCCAAAATATTGAAAGGCGATCACGATTCATGAATATAACTTTCAAAAGCATTTCCATTTTGAATACTTCAATATCATCGTCAAATGTATCACAATATTCGACTTGAATAAGTGCTTTAATCAATTCAATCAACGAATCAATGTGTAGAAATTTAGATTCTTCAATTATCAATATCAAAGTTTGACAATAATGATTACGTTGATTTGAAAGGTCGGTTTTTTCATCAGCCTTTGACTGATCCAAATCATTAGTTTCGTTTCCAAAATTAGCTGTACCATTACCACTTCTTGTAACATCATTGACATTATTGATAATATCTTGATCATTTGGTGAATTACTAGCAAAATAAGAATAAAAACTAGAAAGGAAAAATGTAGATTGATTTTGTTCACTTTGCTGTTTCAGATTTTTCAATGGTGTTTTGCGTATTAAACTAATCTTTTTCGATTCAAGAGCAAAATCATCGATCTCTAATCCATCATCAAGTAACTTATTATCGTACCAGAACAATACTAATTCTATAATATTTTTCCACGATGATCGCATTTCGTTGGCATATTCTTTACAAATATTAAACAGACAGTAAGCAACCAATTCACTTTTAGTCGTTATTCGAGGTGATGCAATGACAAATTTCGATAAGTTTTCAATCAGATTGTCTAAATGACCATAATTTGCACAAAGTAATGAACAACTAGCAAAACCTTGATTTAAAACAAGTCGTGACATGCAAGGCTGTCGATCAGGATTCAATTTATCGAATACTAAAGTTAATGTAGAAATCGAAGGCGAACCTGAAATTTCAAAAATTGATCTGTTTAAAATAGATAATTTGACAACGGAATCTTCCTTTGTATTTTTGAAATGATTTTGGACAACAGGTAATGAGGGCGAATCCTGTTGATTTGAATTTTTCATGACAGAATTCAAATGAAACCAATAGACGCCACTTAATGTTTCCGAATTTTTTAATAAACATTTCCACAAGTATTTTTCACGTACCACACCTTGTTGTTCGGCCGGCATTATAATTTCATTGTTTTTGATCATGTGATAGATTTCCGTCAACATGTTTCGATCAAAATCTTTACCACCATTGACTTGACGTAAATTTGATATAAATTCTTCGCATGTCATCGGATTAGTTTGACGTTTAACATTTGAATTATGTTGATCAACATTTAACATAATAATGGCATATGCTAAACTGAATGCTGCATCTTCATTTACGAATGGACAGCCATTTGATTCCTACAATAAAAAAATCAATCAATCAATCAGAAATCATAATAAACAATATAAAAAACATACATGCCAATGATGGGCGAATTGTTCCAGAACCAATGAAATAAGCGGAGCCTCGCCAGGCAGCCGAAATGATTCCAAATACAATCGAAGCGACTCATCAATACGCATATCTTTAAATGTAAAACTTTCTACAAATTTGGACAAAACTGTCATGTTTTTCTTGTTCGACAAATATTCCCCCAATGGTTTTTTGTCAAGGCGGGAATTGTTACGCAAAAATGAAACTACATCATCATCATTATGAACAAGTTTATTTTCATAAAGATATTCAATTCCTTTGGTAGGCTTTTGATTGAATTTTTCCGTGGCTGTCCACAATAATAATTTTCGTTGTTTTAATGCTTCGATTTGTTCGCTACTTGCAAGGTTTGGTTTTTGAGGAAACAAATATGTTACGCAATACTTATTAATTGTTGGTGCATTCGGTTCCGGAACTGTTTCTTCAATATTCGGTTTTGTTGAATCAACTTGAATACAATTGTCGGCCAATACAAAGCTTTCTGTTTCAAGATCTTCCGTCGTTGACAGTGGTTGTTCAACAGTATCTTGATCGATTTGGCGATTATCGTTATCACCGCCAATGGCATCTTTCATAGTGGTGGACAAATTATCTTCGCAATAATTACTTGGTGTTTGATGATTGATATCCTTAATAATGTTAGTATTGAATTGCTCTATTGTTGAACTGTTTCGCTTTTCATCATCATTAATTTTCTGTTGAGGAGCACCAGGAAAAGCCTCCACTGCTAAATCGCGGATGTTAGAAATGTTGACAATCATGGTGGCCGGATTCGCTATAAGGTAAACATCCTTATCTTTTAGTAGTTCAGCCATTTGCAAACTTTTTAAATTTGACAATAGCACCTCAAACGATAAGATCTGTAAGGCAGTGAAATTCAGATTTGATGATGATGATAACCAAGTAGGAGATGATGGAACATTTTGATTCTGATTATTGTTAGCCGATGAAGAGAAACAATTTTTTGACAATAGTTGCAGCATATCTTCCAATATGTTCGAAGCGTATGAATCACAATCATAATTGAAAAATAGTTCATGCGGCAAATATGGAATGTGATGAAAAAATTGTAATAAATATTCCATACAAATATCTCGATATTCTAAAGGTGTATTAACCGTTGCAACAATATCCATTATACGTAGTAAGAAGGCTTCAAATTGATATTTTAAATGCATTCGAAGATCTACAAACACAAGAAATGATAATCGCAAGACACTGGAAAACGTGTTCAAGTTCTTTTCATTTTGCAACAATTGCATAATGTTCCAACAGAGATCGGTTTTGACCACTGACAATAAACAATAATTGGCACCAATCTCATGGACACTAATCTCAAATATAATGGTCAACAATTGTAGACCAACGTTGACCATATATTCAGTATTTTGGCCATCAGGCAACGGATTAATCAATGATGTCAAATATGACAGTAGTTCGTGAATGCATGCTAATCCATGAGATTTTTGAATGTGTGAGTCTTTTTTTACAAAAATAGAAAAAAGATTAGGCAAATTAAGAACAAACAATAAGCAATAAACAATAACCTACCTAAAGTCGTTAGATCTTCTTTTGTTGATTGTTTTGCTACTTCTAGCTTTTTGTTACCATGCTTGTTTTGTCCGGCAGTCGAAACAAATCGTTTGCCCATTCGATTCAATTTATGGAATGATGCATTATTCTTATCATGATAAAAATAATTGAAATCGGAGCCATTAGCATCACTTCCACTATTGTTACTGACGCTACCATCGGCACAACTATGACTACCTTTATCTTGAAAAGAGGATATACGAATAAATAATGCACGAACCATTTCTGTTAAAGATTTTACGGCACATTTTCTCAACAATTCACTTAAACGGCTTTCAAATGCTATACGAAAACAACTTTGCATTATTTCACAAATTATACCATTGGTTAATGAATAGAATGGCATGACGATCAAACTTTCAAGTACAGCCAATATGGTCATGAGAACAGCTTCATCACTATTCGAATCAGTGCCAACAAAACGTGCTTTCGTTACGGATTCACTAATAAGTCGGACAATTTCATCATCTTTGATGAAACCATAGTTAAGAAATTTTTGTATTGATTGCAATGCCAAACCAGTTACTGGTCCGCTAACATCTTTATTGACAATCACATCACAGAATGGTTTTAAATAACTAGCGTCTAATGAACCAACGATTCGTTCCTGATTCAATCGGGATCGTAATAAAATCAAATTTTTCAACAATGGGTCGATTGTCTGAAGCCATTGTTCATTATTTTCATTTCTCCATTTTTCATTATTCGACTCAAATTCAATTTCATATTCGATTATCATTGATGTCATACGTGATAATTGAACATAATTAGCTTTTGTAAGACGTTGATTGTTTTTCAGAATGAACGTCGACAAGGTCGTTGCTTCGCCTAATATCACTAAAATTTCAAAAAAAAAGAACAAAATTTAATCACGATCATAAAAAAGGAAACATAAAACAAGAATTGCAATCATCATCAACCATATTCACATAAGATTGTAAGATTAATTTGCATATAAATTTCTTTGAATCCATAAATCAAAACAATAACAAAAGAATTCGAACCTTTTTCCATAGAATCATTGGTGTAAAAATTTTGGCTGATATTGCAAATTTGTTCTTGCTCGTGCAAATAGTTGGCATTAGTTTTGTTAATCATCATTGTTGCATTGTTTTTGTTTGTTTGTTTGTTTCTGAAACACTTTGGAAACAAATTGCAATTTCAAAACAAAAGTATAGCGATTCAATTTAAATAACAATCAGAAATAATTTCATGAAATGATGAAAAAAATAATTCAACAAAAATAATAACAATTTTAAAGATTTTGGAACAAATTTTAAATTATGGTACACAAATGACACAAACCAAATGAAAGATTCAACAATCGAACACGTAGCGTGTTGTTTTTTAAAGCACCAACATCAACATAGAGTATATAGTAGTCGGTATCGATAGTATCCAATTTAGGTGTCCATCACTATCCAAACCTGTATTCTTTTTATTCGACTCAAGAGCGCGCCAAACCAACGGGAAAAAAAATCTGGTTTCATCCAGTTTTTTTTCTTTTTAATGGAATTTTCAAATATTTTTTTTTCTTTTTCTTTTTCATTATTAATCATTGTTATTTTCAATTGTTTTAGTTTACAAGAATCTATTGTCTGTCGATCCGCAATAGCTGTTATTATTATTATCCGATTGTTTTTGTTGTTCGTTTGATCATTGAAATCGTTCGATTATTGATTTCCAAAAAAAGCAATAGTTTATCGATTCGAATTGTTTGTTGATGATATAAATAATAATAATAATAAATACCGTTGTTGATCCGTTTGTTCTTTGTCATGAACAGTGAAAAAAAAACTTTGTTTTTCACAAAAACAAAAGCAGAAACAAAAAAGATTAATCAACAATTCATTCTATATACATCATGATCTTGATTATCCAACATCGATCAACAAAATTGACGATTGTTTGTCAAATCGTGACCAATTTACACTGCATAAACATGCATTTTTCTGTTTTGTTCAATCATCTTTCAAATCATTATAATATAGTTGATTCTATTGTTGGATATTCACCCAAGCAACAACGAAAAAAAAAGTAATAAATTAAAATTGTTGTACAGAAACTGTTCCATTTTGATTTGTACATCCGATAAACACTAAATATAAACAGTTTGTGTGTGTGGGCGATGAATAACGCGCGTTTATGAATTTTACTTTTGTGTTTTCACCGAAGAAGAATTAGGTTAGAAAATTATTATTCGATGATAATCATCCAAAAATGAAGATGAGATGTTTATAATAATGGTCATTCTTTCTTTCTTTCTTTTTTTTCTGTTTCTACCTGACACAAAAGATCAACAACAAAAACCAATGATGATTGAAACAATTGTCAATTTTAGATTTTTAAAAATTCCTTTTTACTTATCTTTTATATCCATCTTATTTCCATTTGAATCATGGTCGCTTTTCGCTATTGTTGTTTGATTCATGTCAATATTTATCAACATCAGATTATGATCATGTCGAATTCGTTTTGTTTCTTGTAATTAAAAAAAGAAATTTATTGCTTTTATATTTCATTTTGATGATTAGCGAATGTTTGATAAAAGATTTCTTGTTTTCAAAGTCGATTATTTTGTAGCCCAATTGATCAATTTTGATTTGTCAACATCCATTTTGATCATTATCACAACGTCATTCCAAGAGAAAAATCTTTTCATTGAAAATTGTATACAGGTAGAAAATCAAATCAAATTAATTTAATTAATCTTTTTCGAAGGAAAAAAATTGTGCAACAGATAAAATAAACAAAATAAATATCGATACATCGCCCATCTCGATGTCTATTTTGTTGGGAGTAGTTTCGAATTCGAACACACACAAACATTCGAACAATCGATATATCGATGTTTTTTTTTTTTTGGTAAACAAACAATGCTTGTCAAACTGAAAAAAAAATATTTTTATTCCGGAAATAAAAATCAAAGAATTTCATTTTGTTTTTTTTTTGGTGGTTTTTCTTTTCATTCATTCAATTTTTTGATCATAAATTTAATTAGCATTTTACATTTAAATCTGGGGTGGAGTGTGTGTGTGTGTTTTTCAAAATGAAGTTTTTTTTTCATAAATTTTTCATTCATTTTATTCAAATTCGATGTCTATATGACCAAAATGGTGATGGCACACAAAGTAGGATCGATGAATCACTTGTTGTTGTTGTTGTTAAAAATAATGCCCATCTTTATTTGTTAAGTATGTGTAGCAAAAAGGTAAGAAATTTATTTGAATTGTTTGTTTTATCAATTATGATTGGAATTATGAACAAAAAAAAACTGTTGCTCGAATTTTTTAACATCATTTTTTTTTGTTACCATAGGCGATCACGATGATCCAAAATGATAATATATCTTTGGGATGAACAAAAAGCAAACAAAAAAAGGTGGCGCGATTTATGGAATCCATTTTTTTTTCTTGAAAAACTCATCTTCATTTCCTAAAGAGACATGAAAATTATTTTGTTTTGAAGAAGAAGAAGAAAATGAAAAAGAAAAAGAAAATAAAGGTAGCTGTTTTTTTTACTGATGGCATTTCTTGTATGGAGAATTCGTTTTCTTTTCATTTGTTGGGAAAAAAATTTAGGTCGATGTATTTGAAAACAAAATTCACAAGAAATGATATTGAGAGAAATATTATTCGAGATAATATACGAGAGAAAGTTTGCCTTCAGGTATGATGATGATAACATAACATAAAATAAAATCGAAATTGAAATAGCCGCCATAGGATGTGTATATTGGATAAAGATTCTTTTTTTTCACTATTTGTTTGTCTCTCTCTTTCAACAACTAACTTTATGTTTTTTGTTTTCTCTTGTGGTGGTGATGATATTTCACTTTAGTTTAGTTTAGTTTTCTCCTTTTTTATTTCGTTCCAAACAACAACAAACAGACAAAATATCCATCACTTTTTTTTATTATGACTTTCGATTGCCGTTTTGACCGAATCCAAATTCAAAAAACAAAAAATTAAAAAAAAATATGAACATAGTGATACACCGAACAAAACCAATACACAACAACACACATTCAACAAGTTTGATAATATCAAAATCGATTTGATTCACAAAAGTGTTTTCTTGTTTTGTTGAAACAAACAAATAGATTTCTGTTTTTCTAGAAGATAGCACGTGTGAATCTTTTGCTTTTGCATTGTCTTTCTTTACAAATATTAAATGAATCAATATTATTCTTGTTTTGTTTTCCCATTCATTGAAACAAAACAAAAAAAAAATCATTGAAAATTGATTAACAGCGATAACAACGAACGAATTTGTCATTTTGTTTTGTTTTGTTTTGTTTTGTTTTGTTTTGGTTTTTTTGTTTCAAAATCACAGATCAAATATTTTTCCAAAATACAGCTGTAATATTTGAATTATAAAAAAATTCTTGAAAAAAAATAGGCGATGGCCGTCTATTTCTTTCGTTTTGTAGTTTTCTTTCACACAAGTGATAAATATTAGTTTCATTTCAAGATTATCGATTTTTTTTTTGTTTTTGTTTCATTGAATTGATCTTGTCCACTGTATGTGTGTGTGTATGTGTCCAGTCCAGTCCAGTCCAGTGACAATCAATAATGTGATTTGAAATTTTTTTTCTTTTTTTTTTCGTTCGTTTGATTCAATGTCTTAATTGTGCCAAATATTTATCACAAAAAAAAAGTTTGTTCAACGTTGAAAACGTAAAGAAATTTTCATCGAATTTTTTCGTATTCAAAAATCAATCAATAAAAACTTGAGAATAATTTTTTTTATTCACGAAATTCGTGTACGACTGCAATAATAAAAGAAAAATGTCATCATCAAAGGTAAGTTTTTGATATTAAAAATTAAAAAAAAAATTTCATCGACTTCGGTTTTTGCTTTTTTCTTACCCGAAAAAACGAATAATTACATTTTTTTCCATGTCGGTCAAACATCGATGACCATTTTGGTTTTCATTGTTTTCAATTCAATATATTTGATCATTTCAAAGTTAAAAGCATCCCTTTTTTTCCCATTTTTATGTTGATACCAAAAATAGAAAATTGATTTTTTTTTTGCCATCATATTGATTGTTGTTGATGATGATTGGGAGCAATCATCATTATTAACATAATTTTTCCAGTTTTTTTTTCTGCAGAAAAGAAAAATGATTTAATCAATTGTTTTGTTTTGTTTTTCACTTGTAAATTATGGTTGTAAAAATCTGATTTAATCAAATAAATTTTGATTTATTACTTGAAAAAACACCGGGATAAGGGAAACCGGAATTACCCGAAAGCGATGATTGTTGTTTTTATTATTATTGTTCATTCATTCATTCATTCATTTGCTCATTATCACCCATTGAAATAAATTGTCAAATATGACGATTTTTTTTCTTCCAGAAAATTTTACTTCAAATGCATTGACATGATGAAATGTATAAGGTAGGGGATAGAGAAAAAAATTGATCATTTTTTTCCATTTGAATTCATTTTCTATCAACTATTACACACTGAATAACATAATTTAGATTGGCAAAAAATGAAAAAAAATTTAAACCACAATCATCATCACTATGTGTGTTTGTGTGCAAGTACCGGAAACAAATATCTTTACCATTCTGTCATAATATAGGAAATTATTGTAGGAATGATGATGATGATGATTGGGAGAAAAGGAAAAAACCTGAATGAATGAATGAATGAATGATTGTAAGGCAAAAACTATTAGTTTTTGAAATAATAAAGTTATCATTCCTTGAAAATTTTTTATGCAGTAGCGCACCATTTGAAACACTTTTTTTCATTCATTCATTCATTCATAAGAAAAACTTCAAATATTTCAAACTTTTTTTTTGACTATTTTATCAATCATTATATGTCATATTATAACAACAATATTTTTGTTGTTGTTGTAATTTAATATAGATCACGATTATGGATTGTGAATGATGATGATGATGATGATTGTTATAATGTTGAAGGGAAATGTTATTATTTGAAAGAAAAACTCTATATATACTCAACGGGAATCATCATCATTGAATCGAAATAGAAAATTGATTTGTATTGATCCAAAATAAATAAAAAAACCACGATTGATATTAATCCACCTTTTAAACCCCAGGATGGTTTTATATTTCAAGAAAACCAACAAGAAATATTGATTTAAATTTGATTTTGACCGCAAAATATGTTGCCTGGAGATGATTTATGAAATTTTTTTTTTTAATCAGTCATTTTATTTTCTCGATGCCGTTCATCGTTGTTGAAATCTTGAAATTGGATACTTTATTCGCAGGTAAACAAGCAAAACATTATAATTTTCAAAATTTTACAGATTTTTTGCTCGTTTACTGTTGTCCATATTTCATTTGGATTGAATCATCTTGATTATCGTCATCGTATTTCATAGGATGTGATAATCAACAACTACTGTGAAATTAAGATCGACGAATATTAAACAAACAAACAAACACATAAATATGATAATTTAGTTGCAAATATCCATGTCATTTTTTTTCTTTAAGACATTAAGATTTGGTTTTTCTCTCCTTTCAGATCATTTTTTTCTTGCTTTTATTGACTTGTGAAAAAAAATAAAAGTGAAATTTGAACGAAACCAAACCAACAACATGTTGAATGGATTGACTTTTGCCGTTTTTGTTTTCTTGATGAAATTTAATTGTCGAATTTAATTGTCAATTTTCTTGTGTCTTTTGATGATATCGCTTTTTGTTGTTGTTGTTGTTGTTGTTGAGAATGTATCTTGAAATCTAAACAAGATTCATTGTTATTTTTAGGCCCAGAACAAAGCAATATCAAGATTTTTTTTTTGTTTGAAAATCATTTATAGAAGAACAAGAATAATAAAAAACAAAGTGTTGATTGAATCAACACTTGTCACTTGTTGTTGTTGTTGTTGTTCACTTGTTGGTCAAAAACAACAAAGGATAAAAAAAACAACATCAAATTTGACATTTGTTGAATTCATTCCATCAAATCATCATCATTATCGTCGGTTGTAAGAGAGAAAAGTTTTTTTGAAAAACAAATTTTCTCGATTAGTTTTTATTTTTTATTTTGGTTTTCTTGTTTAATTATATATACATTCAATATTGAAAATGTAAATGTCATTTTCATTTCATGTTTTAACTAACAACAACAACAACAGTAAACAGTAAACCACCTGTTGAATGTTTGACATAACTGTCAATACCACTTGCATAAAATAGATTGTTTTTTGTTTGTTTGTTTGTTCAAAGAGAAGAAAAAAAAATTCATACAGGTTATTTTTATATATAAAGGTTAATCATATTTAGAAATTTGTTAACATTGATTTGTTGTTGACATTACAGGACAGTGTTTTTTTTTGTTGTTGTCAATAACAGCAACAAATATCGTTTTATCGAAACAAAAGAAAAAGAGAAATGGAGTGAGAGAGATGTTTACTGAAAATAGTTCCCGAAAAAACGAAAAAAAAGACAGGTATGCAAAAAAAAAACAATCAATGCGAATATCCAATTCCATTTATCATATTTATGAAGAAAATTATGCAAAAGAGAATCATTAAACTTAACCTTGTTTTTTCTTTCTTTCAACGGTTATTTGCTGATGCTATTATTATGATTGTCTGTCTTCGTTGTCATCTTAGTTGTTTTTCTTCGACTATCATTGTTTATCATCTTTGACATTGTCACCAAACGATAATGATGTTATTGTTGTTGTTGTTGATGATGATGATCATCATTTTTTTCAATCAAATAATACCCCGGGTTACATATAATTCAATTGAATACGGTCGTTCCAAGTTTCACAAAAGAGACGAAAAACATAGAACAAGAGGGCCGAAAACACATATACATTTCTTCCCTCACTGTTTCATTTTTCGTTGGTGGTTCGTATCCGACATTGTGCATCCATCCTTTTTTTTCATCTATTTTTAGGCAAAAGTTTATTTAATATTTGAAAGGAAAGAAAAGCAAAAAAATATATAATACCTTTTTGGAAAGTTTTTTTGTTCGGATGCTGATGCTGTCATTGTATTCATTGAATCAAGTAAATAAATCTGGAGAAAAGAAAAAAATTTTAAAATTTTGTTGAATCAAGTGAAAAAAGTGTATAATGAACATTCATTTTGGACAACATTCATTCAATTCTCTCTTCTTTTCCACTTTAAAATTGATGATGATGATGTGTGCCGTTTGAAATGATAAACAACGAAAATTATCAAATAGTCAAATTAGGCTACTTGTGTTGATGATATTTATCATTAAATGATGATGATGATGAGAAAATGAAAGAATGTCACAATTGTCATCATCATTGTTTGACATTTTTCTTTTTTCGAAGAAATAGAGAAAATAGAAATAAAAAATTTCGGAAAAAGTGGGTGAAAATCATTTTAATTATGATGATGATGATGATGATAATGATTGACCATTTTGTAGATGTGTTTATTCGCTTTGTTCTTTGTTTTTTTTTGTTTTGGATGTATGTTTTGTCAATTGACAAATGTTTTGTTTAGTTTTCTCAGCTAAATCATTTCATTGTTTCAAAATTTTCTCAAACTATTGATTCTCCGAAATTCAATTTCAAATGAAAATTGACCAAAATATTATGATCTACGATTTGCCTAAAATATAGGTTGAATGAAAAATTTGTTGTCGGTGTGTATTTAATATTCAAAGTAAAGTTTATTCGATCTGTTTGTTTGTTTGTTGTATCAACTTTGTATGATTTTTTTCTTTAATTTGATCGATATCATTGTGTTTGTTTACCATTGACCAAACAAAATTATATGGTCAAAAAAAAGCCAAACAATAATGGAAAATCTTTTCTTTTCCCATTGATCATATGATGATGATCATCATTATTTAAACATTGATGTTTTTTTGGATGCTCCAAAAAAAACAGACACGAAAAAAATTGATCAATAACATCATTTCGGAACATTGAATATGAATGAAAAACCAAAAATCAATTCATTTTCAAGCCGTAGAAAGACCAAAACAAACAATGAGAATGGAAAAAAATAAACCAACAACAAATAAAAAAACATCATCATTATTGTATCAATCAATGGTGCTGAAATTTTTCATCCCAATCTTGTTTCTGTTGTTGTACTGTCAATTTTTTCGTTGTTGTTGCTGTTGTTGATTCAAATTTCAAAATTACAATTACAATTTAAATTGACCAATTTTTCTCATATTAAATTTATTTACAACAACAACAACAATCTCCCAATCATTTGATTCACTTGAAATAATTTTTTTGGTGGTGGTTGCCCTTTTACTTTCGTAACCAGAAAATCAAATCATTTGATGTTTGAATGTTTTTTGCATGTCTATTTTCTTATCTTGCCCCGATCAACTAACCGTATTTATATTTGTTGATATATGATAAAAATGGAAACGAAAATGAAAACATATTTTGCCTATTGCTTTTTTTGACTCTCTTCTTGTTTCTTTTACCCTATTTCCATTACATGATCATATCATATCATCTTGTTTTTTTTCACTGACCATTTATGGTTGAACACATGGATAATATTTTTCCAAACAAAAAAAAACATCTTGAACCACTATATATAGTGATGTTTAACACACAAACAACAGACACACATGTTTCATATTAATTCAATCATTCAGCGAATCAATGTATTTGCCTACTAGGCATTATCATTATAAACATTATTTTGATGTTAATCATAACTTATTATCCATTATCCATTATTATTATTATTATGATTTATATGAGATAAAATCAAATTTTGTTCACTTTGGGTTATCCCGATGCTAAAAACAAAAAACAGAGAAAAAAAATCATTTGTTACTTGAAATGAAATGAATGAACAACCCAATAATAACTAAATTAATTATCAAAATGGGATTATTATATAAAAAAGAAAGAAAGAAAGGAAAATTACAAACACACAGATTGGATGATAAAATAGAAATATCTTTAATTTTTCCTGTACATAATAATAGATCAATTGATCGGATCGGATATAATTTAGTGTAATGATTTTCGATAATTCATAATGATAATGATGATTATCATAACTCTGTGTAGAAAATTGGATTAAAGTTGGATTTGTTTTTCGTTGTTGTTCANTGTTGTTGATTCAAATTTCAAAATTACAATTACAATTTAAATTGACCAATTTTTCTCATATTAAATTTATTTACAACAACAACACCAACAATCTCCCAATCATTTGATTCACTTGAAATAATTTTTGGTGGTGGTTGCCCTTTTACTTTCGTAACCAGAAAATCAAATCATTCGATGTTTGAATGTTTTTTGCATGTCTATTTTCTTATCGCCCCGATCAACTAACCGTATTTATTTGTTGATATATTATAAAAATGGAAACGAAAATGAAAACATATTTTGCCTATTGCTTTTTTTTTGACTCTCTTCTTGTTTTTTACCCTATTTCCATTACATGATCATATCATATCATCTTGTTTTTTTCACTGACCATTTATGGTTGAACATACATACCATACACATGGATAATATTTTTCCAAACAAAATAATAATAAAAAAACATCTTGAACCACTATATATAGTGATGTTTACCACACAAACAACAGACACACATGTTTCATATTAATTCAATCATTCAATGAATCAATGTGTACTTGCCTACTAGGCATTATCATTATAAACATCATTGTTGATGTTAATCATAACTTATTATCCATTATCCATTATTATTATTATGATTTATATGAGATAAAATCAAAATTTGTTCACTTTGGGTTATCCCGATGCTAAAAACAAAAAAACAAAAACAAAAACAGAAAAGAAAAATCATTTGTTACTTGAAATGAATGAACCCAATAACTAAATTAATTATCAAAATGGGATTATATAAAAAAAGAAAGAAAGAAAGAAAGGAAAATTACAAACACACAGATTGGATGATAAAATAGAAATATCTTTAATTTTTCCTGTACATAATAATAGATCAATTGATCGGATCGGATATAATTTAGTGTAATGATTTTCGATAATTCATAATGATAATGTTGATTATCATAACACTGTGTAGAAAATTGGATTAAAGTTGGATTTGTTTTTCGTTGTTGTTCAAAATGTTCAATTTATTAATGATGTTAATCATTATTATTGAGGTAAAAATAGCCTACATTTCGGAAACACACACATATGTATAGTCCGTTACATTCAGTTAAGATGATAATTTTTGGCCAATAATTCAACATTTGCAAATTAATTCATGGATGTGTTTAGAATTTTTAATTTTGTTGAAAACTTTTGAAGAAAAAAATTTCGAAATTCTTCATTATCATCCTTGAAAATGGATTTTTTTTACCATCAATCATCATATATTCCATTTTTCAATCATAATTTGTAGTTATTCTTCTTTTTTTTTCTTGAACAGAAAAAAATTTACAAATTCAAATGTTGTAAATGAATGAAATTTTTTCTTCGGACGTTTATTTCTTAATTCCATTCGAACAAACATGGTGGTTATATTGAAAAAAACTTGAAAATTTCTTGTTTGAATCTTGACCACCATCATCATTGTGTTCGTTTGTCCCCTTTTTTTTCTTTGATTTACGATGAACAACCTTGTTTGTTGTTTGGAAATTTTATTTGTTTGTTTTGTTTTGACCAAATTTCATCTTTTCCGAACAAGTTCTTTATTTTATTACTGTTATTTACTGTGAACAATAAAGATTTTTTTTTAATTTCAAATGTTTCACCAATGATCTATATAAGTATGGAACAAAAAGTATCGTTTTTGAAGCGTGAAAAGGAAAATTTGTTTGAAAAAAATAACACGCGTTTCAAATCAATCAATCAATCAATCGAGAATTCAAATGAAATTTTTGTTTTCTTTTTATTTTACAAAAACAAAAATCAAGTTTGCATCCAATTATGGCCAACAACATAAAACATTGCAATAAACATTTAAATGAATGTATGTAAAAGTTGTAATTTTGATTTAAGTTGTAATTTTCTTAGTTTTTATTTTCAATTCGTAAAACAAAAAACTTTACATAATTTTTATTTAATTAAATATTATGATGATGATGATCATCATTATGTTGTTTTAAGCAATGAGAAAAAAAAACAATCATCACTTGATTGATAGATAAACATCATCAAATAAAAAAAAATATCATCAACAATTATGTCAAGGTATTTTGCTCATCTTCACTTATTTAATAATAATAATCGGTAGTTATATTTCGCTTTTTTTTTCTTGGTAATAACAATAACGATTATCTCATCATCATCGTTGTCGTCGTCGTCGTTTCTTATGAACAAACAAACGAAAGTTGTTTCCATTTGAATTTAAATGGATAATTTCTTGAAAATTTTGTTTGTTTGTTTTGTTTTCCAAATGAAACCATAAATTAGTTGACAATATAAACAACAACGAAAAAAAGATGTTTTTTTTTCGACTGGATTCATTCATTTGGTAATTGCAAAATAATCGGATTTTTTATCTGTTTCAAAAAAAAATTTTAAATCAAAATTATCTTCCAAAAACAAAACAAAAAAACATTATCAATTCATTCGTTTATTGCGATAATAGTAATCATGATTTTAAATAATGAGATTTACCTGTATATTGCTGCTGCTACTGCCTACGACAAATCTATCATTTTTCTGTTGTTGCAAGCACTCACATGTCAAATTAAATTAAAAATTACAAGACAGATTTTCTTTAAAAAAATTACACACACCCTAAGTGTTATGACAATCATGAATGAATGAATGAATGAAAAAAAGAAAGGAAGTATAATCAAATGTTTATTCGAAAAAATTGTTGTAGATTTGGTTTTTGTGATTAATGATGAATCAATGATAATTATTGTTATCTATGTTGTTTGATCATTATTTTTATGTTTATTTTTTTTATTATTTCGATTTTGATTTAGACATTACAATCATCATCAACGATTTCCATTATCATTGTATTGGTCATTTTCATCAACATACAATTATTATTGGCTATCAAAGATGAACAACAACAACCACGAACAGAATCAGCTAATGATTTTGGATTAAATGGTAAAAATATTGACCTGTTTTTTTTTAAATACAGTGATTAAGAATGAATTTTACATTTTATTTTTTACTTTTTACTGTTGATAAATTGTCACAATTTTTTTTTCAAAAAAATTTTCCACCTTTTTTTCCTCCATTACTTTTAATCGCACGTTGATAGCATCATCGTTGGCGTTGTCTAATCATGACATTAATAACAATGTTTTACATAACATTACAAAACGATCATCAAATGATCAACAGGAAAATGTCAAATTAATCTGTTATTATTCCAATTGGGCCATATATAGGCCTGGTGTGGCAAGATTTACACCACAAAATATTAATCCATTTTTATGTGTAAGTATTGTGTTCAATTTTCAAATGAATACAATCAATCAATCAATCAATTGATCAATTGTTTCAAATGTTACTAAAATCCTAATTTCCATTTGGATTTGTTTTTTCTCCTTTCTTTTCGAATGAATATTCTAGACACATTTGATTTATGCATTTGCTGGATTATCAAGTAAATATGAATTGAAAGCATTCGATCCTTATAATGATATTAATCAAGGTATGATGACCAAATAAAACAATTGTTTTAATGTTAAACTCTTTTTTGTTGTCCCAAATTGTTTTTGTCCCAATTTTTTTTACAAAGGAAATTATAAAAAATTTGTTGGTCTTAAGAAATATAATAATCAATTGAAAACAATGATTGCTATTGGTGGTTGGAATGAAGGATCGAAAAGATTTTCCAAATTAGTTGCAAATAATGATCTACGTTCAAATTTCATTAAAAGTGTATTGAAATTTTTACGTGAACATAATTTTGATGGTATCGATTTTGATTGGGTATGAATGACATATTTTTCATCGACTTACATTTATTATTAATTAGATTAGATTTTATGATTTATTTATATCAAATTTTTTTTTCGTTCCTTTTTTTTCTTCATTTACAATCCAAACTTATCGAAAAAAAACAACAACAATCTATAGGAGTATCCAGCTTTTCGTGAAGGAAGTGCGCCCGAAGATAAGGAAGGATATGCTAAATTGATACGAGTAAGTTTGAGAAAATTATATTTAATCCAAATGAAAATAAAAGTATTGGGAATCAGGAAATTGTCGTTTGACCACAAAACAGACAGACATAAATAATGATATTTTTTTTTGTTTATTCGAATAGGAATTACGTTTTGCATTTAACAATGAAAAATTATCCACTGGTAAAGAACGATTATTACTTAGTGTTGCTGTACCGGCTGGACAAGATTATATTGATCAAGGATTCGATGTTCCTGTTATATCACAGTATGTTATATATAAAAGTTTTTGTCATTGTTTAACATTTCATTTGATTTTCTCTCGAATAGATATGCTGATTTTTTAAATGTACTTAGCTATGATTATCATACATCATTTGATCCTGAAACTGATCATCATGCACCATTGAAATCAAAACCGGATTTTATCGATGAAGAAGCATCCAAATTAAATGCCGAATGGACAATTAATTATTATATTCGTTTAGGTGCACCACGTGAAAAATTAATTCTTGGTATACCTACATATGGTCGTTCATTTACATTGGCTGATGAAAGCAATAATGGTATTAATGCATTGGCTGAAGGTCCTGGTGAACCTGGCCCTTCTACAAGAGAAAAAGGTTATCTTGCTTTTTATGAAATATGTCAAAAAGTTGAAGATGATGATTGGCAATTACATCGACCTTATCCACATATTGAAGGACCATATGCTGTAAAAGGAAAACAATGGGTTGCATTTGATGATATTGAAATTATTCAGGATAAAGCTAAATTCATTATCGATCAAAGATTAGGTGGTGCAATGGTTTGGACATTGGATAATGATGATTTCCGTGGCAATTGTTATGGTGAACAAAATCCATTAATAAGTTCGTTACGATCATCATTGATTAATCCATTGTTACAAGTATCACCAGCTGCATCACGCGATTCTACTTCTTCCGCTCGTCCATTATCATCATCTCGAGATGAAAATTTAATTCGTAATCGATCAAGAAATCAAAATTTTGGACTATCTGAAGCTGGACTTAATGCATTAAATGTTAATACTCGACGTAATCAACGACGCAAACAATATTATGGTACATCGTCTACGTCAACAACAACAACAACAACCACAACTACAACAACAACTCAAGCACCAACTACTACAGCTTTAGCATTATCATATACAACACCAGAACCACCAACTACACCAGATCCCGGAATAGAATTCCATTGTGAAGATGAAGGTTTTTTTACTAATCCAAAAGATTGTCGAAAATATTTCTGGTGTTTGGATAGTGGTCCGGCTAATTTAGGTATCGTTGCTCATTCATTTACATGTCCATCCGGATTATATTTCAATAGCAAAACAGAAGCCTGTGATTATCAGGAAAATGTTTCTTGTCGAAATAAAAAAGATAAATCCTCAACAACAACAAAACGTCCAAGAATTCGACCGAAAATTGCTACAACTTCATCACCAATTACAACGACGACGACAACAACAACAACATTACCACCACCAACCACAACAACACAACAACCAATGACATCATCATCGTATAGACAAGATAATGATGAAAAAATGATGATGGATACGATGAGAAAATTTAATGATGCAGCTAAAAATGGTAATCATAATGAATTGATTCAGTTAGCCAATCTAATCAAAGCATTAGGAGGTATTGAAAAACTTGAAGCAATTCTTAAAGGTCCAAATACAGGTTCCAATGATAAAAGAAAACCATTAAATTCTGAACAAGATGATGAATCACCATCAAATTTTTTTGCCTATGTTACACCTAAACGAACACAAGAATTGATGACTACTACACCGGCACCATCACGTAATGATCGTTCAAAACCTATACGACAAAGACGACCACAATTTTTTGATTCTGAAACAATATTGACAACAACGACTGTTTCGACCACTCCAGCACCACAAACAACAGCATCTTTATTTTCATATTATGAAAAACCAAAATCAAACAACAACCGAAATAATAATAATTTAGAAGCTGAATCAATTGATAATTTTGTTAAAAAATCTAATGCAAAACCATTTGAATTTAATTATAATCAACCTGAAGGTCGTAATACAATGATGAATGCATTCAATGATATGCAGAATTCTCGACGTTTGATTTCAGAAGAAAATAAGCAAACATTTTCAAATGAATCATCATCATCGGCAGTTATAATCGATCCTAATACAAGACAAATATATAGAATACCATATAAATTAAATAATTTGGATAATAATCGAGCATCGGATATTATCGATAATAATCTGATTGCCAGACAAAAAGATCCATCAATGACAAGACGTATTCGTCTTCCACATCCAAATACAATGCATCAATTTTCACCAGCAGTTTTAATACCCGATAAAGCTGGTGTAGTTTATGAAGATGAATTCTTTTTCGATCATCAATCATCATCTGCTAATCGAATGTCTGGACCTTCATCGCAAACACATCCGGAACAATTTTTACCACCAGGTAGCGAACTTCCATTATCTGCATATTTACGTCAATTTCAACCACCACCACCGCCATATCAATTACCTAATAATGATATTGGTCATCGTTCTCAATCATCATCATCATCAACATCATCATCACAATCGCAACATCCTCATCAACGACGTAAACCACAAAATCATTTCAATATTCCATTACAGCAAGAAAATCCTATCAATTTATTGATCAATACGCCACCACGTTCACCTGAGGATAATAAATTACCATTTAATGTTTTGAATACAACACCATCACCATTAACTACAACATCGTCTACAGTACCTAAATTTACCAACTACAATACATTACCACCAGAATTTGATATCTCACCATTCACCAGTACCAGTAGTTTATATAATCCAATTCAGGCAAATAATTTCCAAAAAAATCGATTATCCGATCTGTTGGATAGCTTGACATCAACATTATCATCATCAAATCCAACTACACCAATGCCAACAACATTAATTACAAATAATGATCCAATAATTCATTCAATGGGTCCAAGACGAAGAATTGCACGTCCAAGAAGGCCATTACCTGGCATACAACATCATCATCAATCCCCAACAACAAGTTTACAAACAACAACACCTAAAACTTCAACGACGACGACGACGACAACAACAACAACTCGTCGTCCATATATTGCACCAGCAATTGATACATTTAATGGACCATCCGTATTTTCTAATACTGATAATAGTCTTGGCTGTTCTAAACGTGGTGTATTTGCACATCCGGAAAGTTGTGGTATGTTTGTTGTTTGTGCACCAGCTGGTCGTAATAAAAAAGGTTTTCGTACATTAACACATCATTGTCCGGCTGAACAAGTATTTGTTGAAGAAGTTGGACGTTGTCGACCTGGTAATAAAGATCGTTGTGAAGTTTATCATTAGAGGTGATAGATAATGTTCATACTATTCACACCAAAAAAAAAATCATTTACTGGAATAACCAAAAATTGAAAATTAAATTGCCATTTTTCATCACCATCATTCATTCATTCATTCATCAATCACATAAATACTTATCCATATTGATAATTCATTCACATTAAATCATATTCACACATTCATTTCTTATAATAATTTTTATAAATTTCCTATTTCATTTAAATGGTAAATATTATTTAGAGATAGACCAAACAGATTTTTTTTTGTTTGTTTCCATTTTGATTCTTCCCCCTGTTCAATGTTAATATTTTAGTTATATTCAACCCCAACATTCACTACACACATAATTTGGATTATAAACAAAACAAAAGGATTAATTTATATATTGTTATTGTTGAAAGTTTATTGAAAACGTACGAAAAAAAATTCTTTCATTTGATTTCAATAAAAAAGTAAATAAAATTTAAAATTTGTAACAACAATTGAATTATTTGAATTTAAAATTGAAAATTTTTCAAAATAGAATGGCTGCAAAATAAAAACTTTTATTTTTGAATTTTTTTTTAATAAATAAAAAGATGTTAACGTTATCGAAAGAGATTCAAAATGAATTACAACAAACAGCACGATCAATAGCTACGATTGGTAAAGGTATTCTAGCAGCTGATGAATCAATGTCAACAATTGGTAAAAAATTCGTACAAATTTCTGTTGAAAATACAAAAGAAAATCGTCGTTTATATCGACAAATGTTATTATGTGATGATCGAATTAAAGAATTTATAAGCGGTGTTATTCTTCATGATGAAACATTATATCAAAAAGATGATAATGGAAAAAATTTTGTTGATTTATTACGTGAAAAAAATATCATACCCGGTATTAAAGTTGATAGAGGTTTAGTGACATTAACTGGTACATATAGTGAAACAACTACTCAAGGTCTTGATGATCTTAAACCAAGATGTGAAGAATATTATAAACTTGGATGTCGTTTTGCTAAATGGAGATCAGTATTAAAAATTGATGATCAAAATGGTTTACCATCAGCATTAGCTATTGTTGAAAATGCACGTGGATTAGCTCGTTATGCATCAATCTGTCAGGAATGTAGAATTGTACCGATTGTTGAACCAGAAGTTTTATCCGATGGTAATCATTCGTTGGAAAGATGTCAACAAGTTAGCCAAAAAGTATTTGCAGCAACTATTGCTGCACTTCATGAACATAATGTTCTAATGGAAGGTATTCTAATGAAACCAAATATGATCACAGCCGGACATGATCATGGTCCATCTAATGCAGAAGAAATTGGTCTGGCAACAGCTACTACATTACTGCGTACAATACCAGCATCTGTTCCAGGTATAATGTTTTTATCCGGTGGTCAATCTGAAGAAGAAGCTACGGTTAATTTAAGTATGATCAATCAAATTGGTTCAAAAATGCGACCAAAAGTACCATGGACATTAAGTTTTAGTTATGGTCGTGCTTTACAGAATTCTGCTATCACTCTTTGGGCTGGAAATGCTGCAAATGTAGGCAAAGCTCGTAATGAATTAGTACGAAGAATGAAAGCAAATTCGATGGCTAGTCAAGGACGATATATGCCCGAAGCATCATCCACATCATCAACAGCAACAAAAAGTAATTATGTAGCTAAACATGTTTATTAAAAACAAGAAAAATAAAAATAAAATTTAAAATTCGCGCTCATCATTTCGTTGATGTGATGAAAAACGAGACCTTGTCCACTATTACCACATGTTTGATCGGGCGCGGCATGTTTGGTTGAAATGGATTGAGAGCTCACCGAGCGCTGTTTTTTGGTTAGTTGGACAAAACAAGCAAACAAACAAACAAAACAGCGCGGTCATCAAACATCATTAATTTTTGTTATGGCTGTTTGGTGCGCAACAGATTCAGTGTATTAAAAATTGTGTACATTCTTTAATTTTTTTTTTAAATCAAAAATCAAGTTTGCCAGTTGTCAAAGTTTTATCGATCAAAATTATTTTCAACATTTAACTGTTTATTATTGCATATTATTTTTTTGATGTTGTCAAATTTGATTATATAGAAGCTAGAAAAAAAATTTGTCGTTTTTCTGGCCTGGCCACTTGTTAAAATATACACACTAAATATAACAGCAACAATTAGAGGCAAAAAAAGTTGTTGATCAAATCTCGTTCATCATCATCATCATCAACACCATCAAACACATCCGTATTGAGCTTTTCGATTTAGTCAAAATTTTTCTACCAGTTTTCGATTTGATTTCCTCACACATTCATTTTTTGACATTCAAACGACGTCGTTAAAACTGTTTTTATTTCACATTAATAATTTCATCTCATATTGATTTTTTGATCAAATTTAAACATGGCAACGACTACAAGTTATCTTGGATTTGCTAATCTACCGAATCAAGTGCAAAGAAAATTCGCTAAAAAAGGTTTTGAATTTAATCTAATGGTTGTTGGTGAATCGGGTCTTGGAAAAACAACATTGATAAATTCATTGTTTGGTACGAATATTAATTCAAATCGAAAGATACCAACTACACAAGAATTATTGGATCGAACATTATCCATTGAAACTACATCGATGGATATTGAAGAACGTGGTGTTCGTCTTAAATTAACTGGTATGTATCAATATTTGTAATCATATTTCCATTTGATTCTAAATTTTTTACTTTTCGAAATTTTAAAATATTTAGTTATTGATACACCTGGCTATGGTGATGCATTGAATTGTTCCGGTAATTATGATCCAATATTACAATATATTGATGAACAACATCGAAAATATTTGACCAACGAATCTGGTTTAAATCGTCGACAAATACGTGATACACGTGTTCATTGTTGTTTTTTCTTTATATCACCGATTAATTATGGCCTAAAGCCAGCTGATGTTCATTTTCTTAAATTATTACAACATAAAGTTAATATTGTGCCATTGATTGCTAAATCAGATTTTCTCACACCAAATGAAACATTAACATTGAAAAAACGTATACTTGAAGAGATCAAACAACATAAGATTGATATCTATACAATACCGGATTGTGATCCTGATGATGATATTGAATATAAGGTCTGAAAAATTTGATAAAAATAAACATTTTCTAATCTGTAAATCTTATAAATTTTAGGAACACGTTAGACAATTACAAAATTCAATGCCATTTGCTGTTTCATCATCAGTTGATATTATCGAAGTAAATGGTGAACGTATTCGTGGCCGTGAATATCCATGGGGTATTGTTCGTACTGAATGTGATGATCATAGTGATTATGTTAAATTACGTTCAATGTTGGTATCACAAATGCAAGATCTACATGAAGTGACACATGATTTACATTATGAAAATTATCGATCCCTACATTTGGCTAATTCGGGATGTGATATGAGCCCAATGTCAAGAAAATTTAATTCAAGCGATGTACGTGATAATGTATCAATACTTAGTGGTATGACAATGGATGAAACTGAAAAAGATCGTTTGCTAATAGAAAAAGAAGCTGAAATTCGTCGCATGCAACAAGAATTGGCAAAAATTCAAGATCAAATTCGTAAACAATCATTGCAGCCATCCGATCAAAATGTTGTAAACAATATTGTTGCTCATTCAAATGGTACCACGACAACAACAACAAATGGACATTCAAATTTATAATCAAAAATTAACTGCCAATTATGCTCATTGGAGAAGTGATCGTTGATATTCTCCATATTTTTTTTAAATTCTCTTTTTTTAAACTCAATTCAAATCCTGTTTTAAAACCAAAATATTCAAATAGAAAATTCTTATGATAAAATGTGTACTTAAATGCAAAAATTTTTAATTTAAGATTGAATAAAAATTTCAAACCTAATTCGAATTCTGATGTTCAATTCTTCGATAGAATCAAAGGTCATTGACAAGATGAGACATAACTCAACTTGACCAGAGTTGTTTTGTTTTGTGCATCCCTTTTTTTTAGATTTTAAATAAGAAAGAGGCCAGCGCGTACGCTAAACCTCGCTACCAAAAATTACACGACCCATCTGATCCATTTTGGACCAGTGGCGGGTTTCATCACGTACCGAAGTGCAATGGTACAGACTCCACCCGGAGCCGAGTTTGCTTGAGAACCCGAACCCGCCGCCAGGTAAGTATGCTGTGGAATGGTTATGGCAAAAAATATGAATGTTTTGGAGGATCAATTTCATTACATTTTTTAAATACATTTTTTAATTTTTTTTTAAATATTTCATCATATGATTGATAATATAATTGAATGACACAATGGGATTTAATGTTTAAAAGTGATTTTTGAATATAAAATTTTATAATCAGCATTAAAAAAAGAATAATTTTCATTCGATTAAATATTGATCAAAATTAGATTTGATTTCGTAACTGTGAAAAAAATTGGAGAAAAAATCTACAATAACAATAGCGATATCTAGCGACAGCAAAACAAACTTTAGAATTTGAAAAAAAAATCCTTTGAATTCGTTCGATATTTTTTTTATCATCGATCATTCACAAATCATTTGAAAAAATTGGTGATAATCAATTGCATTCAAAGAAAAATGCATTTCATTAATTTCATTGCATTGATAATTTTTAATAAATCAATCAAACATCGATTTCTACTGTTCGATTTTATGATGAAAAATGCTTTTTTTGAAATAAGAAAACAAAAAATTGGCAATGGAATCTTGCTGTATTCAACAAGAAAAAAGCTTCTGTGAATATACATTTTCTGTAATTAACTACATCGTTGTTGTTGCCTTGGCATAAACGATCATTGTCATCATCATCATCATTCATTTATTTATTGTTTTCAAATCAAAAATCTGAATATCGATTTGCCTAAATGATAATGATAAATTTCGTTGTTCATTTTTTGTTTCAATAATCACCGTACAAATGATAATTATTTTAAAATTCAAACAAATACAAAAAAAAACAAATAATTAATTAATTAATTAATTAATTTTTTTTACAATTTAAACCGGAAATTTACCTGTGTAATTTTTCAAGTAATTTTACACCCACATTATTATTATTATTATTTAAAAGTATTACATGATTACATCTTTGGTAAAAGTAATGAACAAATTCATGATTACATATACCTTTTTTTATACAGCTATGATGATGATGATGATTATAATGATCAAATCATAAAAAGTTTTTTATTTCATTGATTAAAATTCATAAAGGGGTTCCTGACAATGATTGCAGCAAACGCAAATACACACACACACGCGAATAATTTGCTGTTTGTTTGTTGTTGTCAAACATTCATGGTAAACATCCTAATCATCATCATAATGAATTGACCAAACATTGAATGAAAATCAACAACGATAATAACAGAAATAACAGAAATATTGCAGAAACATACACACACACACCTGAACATTGCCAATATTCGAAAATCGATTCGATTGTATACTGTACACGTTACCTTGACTTTGATTTTTTTTATATATTTCTCTTTCTCTTTCTTGATATCTATCATCGTGAGGTTTTAATTCATTCATTCATTTCCATCAACATCAACATCATATCACACGTTTACCATTGTCCATTTTATTCTCCAAAAAACAAAAAATCAATGAATTTTATTTCATTGTAAAGAAAAATAAAATGTGTGAGAGACATACAAACATCGACGGTGAAAAAGAGAAAATGAAAAATTTATGAAAATAATAATTTTGTTTATTATAATCATCATTGTTTTGATTTGAAATCGGATGGTACTTTATTATTATTTTGTTTGCATAAATAAAATTTTTACAACTACTATGGTCATTTTCACTGAATTTTTTATTTTCGTTGATGATCTCAATGACACCAAATATATAAAAAAATCATCATCTACCTATGTTGTTGTTGATGATCAACGATGTTTTTGTTGTTGAGTCAATAAATCGATAAATGTTCTTTTCAAAGCAGCATCAACAGAAAAGGAAAAAAAACGTGGGGAATCCATTTGAAATCTTGACTTTACTTTCTCTTTTTTTAAATGTTTTTTTTTGTTAATGAACATCAATGATTTGATGATGATCACGAGTATTATCATCATCATCATCGCCATAACCATCATCAGGTATATGCTACTTTCTTCTTAATCGTGATTCAGTTTGATTCATTCATTCATTCATTCAATTAAAATTTTGTTGTTGTTGTTGTCGTTGTGTATAGATCGAATCGCAAATCAATCAAACAATATATATGATTGTTGTATGGCTGCTGCTGTTTTGTCATTTTTGTTGTCCATTTCCAATATTCAATGTTTTTTGTATATGTTTTATAAACCGTGACCATTTGAAACTAATAACGATGATGATGATGGTCATCATTCAAAATCAATAATCAATTTTTTTTTTACCCAAATGAACATTGAAAACATCATCATACAAATTTGATCATCATCATCACCATAATCATCATCGATTGGTTAGGATATACTAAAGATTTTTTTAAACCTGTGAAAGTTTGATTGAAAATTTTGTTTATTTTTTTTTACATTGAACAAAAAATTTTTTACATTTTTTCTTTGCCTTCATTGTCGTCACTAATGAACCATTCATTCAAATCAATCATTTATTTTCAAAAAAAAAAGTTACCATGGTCGTCGTAGTCATTGATTTATTGAATGTGAAACATTGTGAAAAAAATGATGATGATGACTAAAAGTATATTTATAATGTTAATATTGTCATTGTGAAAAAACGCGTAGGATAATAATAATAATAATAATAATCTGGAATTTGGCCAAATAATTTTTCATATTTTGTCGAATGTCGATCGACCAAACAAACATTCAACCGACAAGTAGAACAAAATGTGATTCAACAGTGAATTTGTTTGTTTGTTTTTTCTTATAATGTTATCCTTCTGTGTAAAACACCTTTCATGGCATCATCATCATCAACAACGTCATTCAAATAACATGTCAATTTTAAATAGAATTAATTTTTTTCATTATTGGTCATATCAATTGACCATAATTGTGATAATTTTTGTGTACACTATTTCCGATATCGATTCGATAACAATCGATAGTCAACAAAATTCTAGTTCATCAAAATCTTCTGAGATTCTTCAAGAATCAACATCAGGAAGAATATATCTTGAAAATGGTATGAATTTACCATTATCGATTCAACAACAACAGTCGGCTACAACTTTAACACCTCAAATATCATCATCATTATTACCACAATCAAAAATGAATGATGATGATAAACCAACAAATCAACCACAATTTTCCGTACAAATCTATTTGATTATTTTCATTGGTTTTGTGCCAGCTTGTCTTGGTGGATTAGCTTGGTGTGGAATGCATAATCGATGTTGTCGAAACAAAAATCATCAATGTTCATCACATCAAACAACCGATTTTGAATATGGTAATAATGGCTGCAATAATATTAGTGATAAAAATAATAATTTTCAAGATTGTAATAAACGATATAATCAGAAAAATATTACTCTGAATAATATGATCAACGTAAGACGATCAAATGGTATTGTTCGTAGTCGTCCAGTACATTCTAGTTATGAAGTTCCAAGAAATTCTTTGGAAATGTTAGAAGTACTTGGTGAAGGAAATTTTGGTCAAGTATGGAAAGCCCGTAGTCATTATTTTGGCAATAAAGACAATACAAAACTTGTTGCAGTCAAAACAAATAAATGTTTGTTAAAATGTTATTTGAATAAATCAAAAAAGGTCATTGTTATTGTTAATATTACTTTATTTTTTGATTTATCTGAAATAGTGACAGAAAACAGTGAGCCACAGGATGATATATTGAAAGAATTAGACATCATGGTACAATTAGGATCACATCCAAATGTTGTTCGTTTACTAGGTTGTTGCACTGAAAACAGTAAGTACAATCAATATGAATCCATTGAAAAAAAAACTATTAATCAAATTGACATTAAAATAATGATGAAGAGCCATTTTATATTGTGATGGAGTTTGTATCACAAGGAAAACTATTATCATATCTACGACAACATCGAGATGATTATCTGGATGTCATCAATGATTATAATTCAGTAGCAAAATCTTCAACAATGATGAATGCACATTATAATCATAATCATAATCAACAACAAAATCCAAATCGGCCATTTATCAACAATAATAATTACATGACTTATTATCATCATACAAATAATAACAATGATGGTTATGGTGAGATTAATCGTAAATCGTTTTCAAAATCGATGAACAAACATTTACAACAAAATGAAAATGATCAATCATTGTCATCTTATGATTTGATTCATTTTGCCTATCAAATTTCTAAAGGAATGGAATTCATAAGTAGTCATGGAGTAAGTTCAAATCGAATTACATTTGTTAAAACGAAAACAATATCTTTACAATATTAAAATTATTAATCATTCAAATATAATTCAATTCATTTATTTATAAAATAGATCATACATCGTGATTTGGCCGTTCGTAACATATTGATCGATGAGAATAAAAACTGTAAAGTGGCCGATTTTGGTCTTAGTCGAAGTATACGTGATAAAGATTGCGATATGTATGAAATGAAACATGGTGGCCAAGTTCCAGTTCGTTGGATGAGTCCGGAGGCCTTGACCATGGGAATCTTTTCGATCAAAAGTGATGTATGGGCATTTGGAATTACATTATGGGAGATTGTTACTTTAGGATCAACACCATATATCGGTATGAGTGCACCCGAAGTTATTAACTATATCCGACAGGGCAATATCTGTTCACAACCTGTACATTGTAATGATCATTTGTATGATCTCATGAAAAGTTGTTGGGCATATAAAGCAGATGACCGATTCACATTCACACAAATTAAATATCATTTAATGAAAATGTTGTTGGCCATTCAGGAGAATAACAACAAAGACAATTACATTGATCTGGATAATTTTAATAATTCATTATATTATTTCAATACCACTGATCCATCGGATGAAAAACTTTAAACATTATGATTTTTGTAAGAATATTATCATTTAAATTTATGTACATAAAATTATCAATTGTGAACAATAATCATTTGAATATACTTTCTAATAATTCTTCATCAAGCTCATTTGGATTAGGTTTTTGTTGACGTATTTGTTCATCAGTCACTCGTTGTTTATATGTTCGATTATTATCATTATAGATGGCTCTTTTATGTCGATTACGGTCAATCATTTCGGCATAAAATGTTGCTTCGCGTTTAGCACGGCCAATTTCTAGGCGTAGTTTCTGATCTCTTAAAGCTTTTTCATAGGCCATTTGTTCGGCCAAATGACTCCATTTGAATCGTTTTAGATATTTCATATTCCATAAGGCATCATGAAATTTTGTATGACGTTTACCGCCGATTTGTTTTCCATTCAACGTATTTGCCACCATTTTAGCAACACTTTTTTTCTTAAATTCAATCCATCCTTCAGTATAACGATAAATCTTTTTACGTTTTCGTCCGCCTGGTTTTCTTAGAGATGAATCTTTTTCCAAATAAATTCGTTCAATTTCGCCATATTTGCACAGTATTTGACGGATATTTTTCACGGTAATTCCTTCTGGAATATAGCTTAAATATACGATTCCTCTTTTACAAGATTTAGGCTTCGTGATATTAATGATTTTTTGTTGTTTCTTTCTGCAGACTTTGGACGAACATGTTACTGATTGATCATTATCCGCTGCTGCATATAAATTTTAATTGAGAAAAAGGAAAAAAAATTTAATTAATCACAAACCTTCAATCGGAGAATCAATCGTCAAATTATCGTTTGATGGTTCAGAATTCATGATTGACTTTGGAACATTGCAAAATCGAAAATTCTCGTGTGAAATCGTGGACCACGTCGAAATTCAGAACCTTTCATAAAGTACGTTTTCGTAAAAAATCCAATTAAAAAAATTCTATATTTTGGAAAATTTAATTTTACTTTATTAAAATCATAACAATGGTTGAATCAACAGGATTTAAATTCGAAAATGGAGAAAGGTTCGATTCCTGTTTCGAGACGTTTCCAAAGTTATGGCCAACCCAAGCGGTAAAATCAATAGTTTATCCCAATTCAATCTTGTTATATGTGATGAACATTTAATGACCATCGATGAAGTTGCCAATAAATATGAAACCGATTTAAAAAATGGTCTAACAAGTGAAAAAGTTCAAATAAATGCTCAAAAACATGGCTTGAATCAATTGACACCACCGAAAAAAACTCCAGGAATAATTAAATTTATCAAATTGTTATTTAGTGGATTCTCATTGTTATTATGGGTTGGGGCAATATTATGTATCGTATCATACTTTATCAATAAAGATGAACAAACAGTAAGAATTGTTGGATTTTTTCATTCATTAAATGCTTTCTTATTTTCTCTTTTCTAGCTTTATCTCGGATTTGCTCTGATTTTCGTTGTTATAATAACTGTAGCGTTTACATATTATCAAGAATCCAAGTCATCAGCTATTATGGAATCATTTAAATCACTTATTCCACATGTAGCACATGTAATCCGTGATGGTAAATTAATAGAAATTGATTCTAAAGAGATTGTTCTTGGCGACGTTATTGAAGTTATCGGTGGCAATCAAGTTGCTGCCGATATCAGGATAATCGAAGCTTATGGTTGTAAATTTGATAATTCATCTATAACTGGTGAATCTGAACCACAATACCGTACGACTGAATTGAAACCAGAAATTGAAAATCCATTAGAAGCTGAAAATCTTGCTTTCTTTTCATCATACTGTACGGAAGGACGTGCTCGTGGTATTGCTATACGAATAGGTGATCAAACTGTTATTGGAAAAATTGCCAGTTTAACTCAACAACAAGAAAGTCAAACATCGATTGCAAGAGAGATAAACAGATTTATTAAAATCATTACCATTTTCGCATTATTTTTGGGAGTGACATTTTTATTGCTATCACTAATAATGGGATATAGTTTTATTAATGCCATCATCTTTTTTATCGGAATTATTGTCGCAAATGTTCCCGAAGGATTAATAGCAACAGTCACTGTTTGTCTAACGCTTACAGCCAAATCTCTTAGTAAAAAGAATTGTCTGGTGAAAAATCTTGAAGCTGTTGAAACATTGGGCTCAACATCGATTATTTGTTCGGATAAAACGGGTACTTTGACTCAGAATAAGATGCATGTTTCGCATGTTTGGTTCAATAATCAAGTAATGGAACCATTGGTTGAAGGTAACTTGCAAATGCTAAAACAATCATTAGCAGATGATAAACGATTCCAAGATTTTCTTCGAGTGACAACACTTTGCAGTAAAGCAAATATTGAAATCGATTCTAATCATCAAAAGTAAGTAATCAAATGACAAGCAATCAGCTTTTGAAGTTTTACTTTATTTTTATTTCAGAATTTTTCATGGTGATGCTTCCGAAGTAGCACTCTTGAAATTTCTTATCAAAATAGGTGTTAATATTGAAAAAATTCGTCAACGACATCCTATCGTTCATGAGATACCGTTTAATTCTACCAATAAATTTCATATTACCGTACATGATATTAGCCAATTTGAGCCACATGCTAAACATAAATATTTGATTTGTTTGAAAGGTGCACCGGAAATAATTTTAAAACTTTGCCGATCAGTTGTATTACAAGAGCAATGTTTGAAATTGAAAACAGAAACTAAACAAGATCTTGACAGTGTTTGCTCATTTTTTGCTTCAATGGGTGAACGTGTATTGGCATTTTCCGAATATTACACCAATGACTATAAATCTTTTTTGGATACTAAAGATGATAAAAAAACATTGGGCGAAAAATTCTTGGACGAAATGAATTTTACATTATTAGGTGTCATGTCATTAATTGATCCACCAAGACCAGAAGTTCCGGATGCAGTTGAAAAATGTCGTCAGGCTGGAGTACGAGTTTTCATGGTGACTGGTGATCATCCGATCACAGCTAAAGCGATTGCCAAACAAGTTGGAATTCTATCCCACGACGATAGAAAAATTACTATTCTTAACGATGAAATATTGCAAGAATTTCTAGGCCATTCAACAAACCATTCTCTATTAAAAGACGACCAAGATCAAACTATTGAAGAATATGAAGAAAAATCCATTGTAATACCCGGTTGGATTCTTAATCAATTCACTGAAGATCAATTGGATCATTTAGTAGAGAATTATCGAGAAATAGTTTTCGCTCGTACCAGTCCACAGCAAAAACTTTTGATCGTTGATAGTTGTCAACGATTAGGCCACATAGTTGCCATGACAGGTGATGGTGTTAATGATTCACCTGCTTTGAAAAAAGCTAACATTGGTATATCGATGGGCATCAATGGATCGGATGTATCCAAAGAAGCAGCTGATATAATATTGATGGATGATAATTTTGCATCGATTGTTGTTGGCATTGAAGAAGGTCGAGTTATTTTTGATAATCTTAAAAAATCTATATCATATGTACTTGCTTCAAATTTTGCCGAAATTGTTCCATTTATATTCTATGTTATATTCGGATTTCCATTAGCACTTGGAACCATAACGATACTTTGTATTGATCTTGGTACGGACATACTTCCATCGATTTCATTGGCTTATGAAGAAGCGGAATCTGATATTATGAAACGTAAACCACGAAATCCAAAAGAAGATCATCTTGTCACAGGAAAATTGATTCATCGATCATATTTTCAGCTCGGCATGATACAAGCAGCTGCCGGATTTTTTACCTATTTTTGTGTTATGGGCGATCATGGATTTTATATCTCACAATTGTTCCATCTTCGCAGATATTGGGATGATAAAAATTATATTATCATTGATTTAAATAACCAACCATGGGTATGTTTGAAACAATATTGAACGATTTTATATTCCTGTTATAATCTGAAATTAATTTTCCAATTACACACAGTCTTATGATAAAAGAAAAATTCTCGAATACACATGTCAAACTTCATATTTTGTTTCGATTGTTGTTTGTCAATGGATGGATCTAATTCTATGCAAAACACGTGTCAATTCAATTTTTCATCAAGGAATGACCAATCATGTATTGAATAGTAGTTTGATTGTCGAAACATTCATAGCGTTATTTCTTGTTTATTGTCCTGGTGTCGAAAAAGTTTTAAAACTTTATCCACTCAAGTAACGATTCAATAATGATTGAATTTCAGAAAAAAACAAAATTAATCGTTTTTTTTCTTCTTTACTTTTCAGATGGTGGTATGGTTGGTTTACATCCATTCCATTTACTATATATATGTTGATATATGATGAAACTCGACGTTGGTTTATACGAAACAGGCCGAAGGGATTTTTTGCTCGAGAAACTTGTCAATGAAATTTATGAATCTGAAAACACTGAATTTGATTCATTTTTTAATGCTCAAAAAGAAAATTATATTTTATTTTTATTTTAATTTCCACATATAATTGAAAAAGCAGATTAAAAAAAATTCTTCAAAAATATAGATGCCGCCAGAAGCTTTTTTAAATTTGAAAAAGAACAGTCTTGCACTCATTTGAAGCGAAACGCGCGAAAGGAAAACAATAAGTTTTCATTGATCGATTCGATTTTTTTTTCACAAGAACTTTGATTTTATTCGAAAAAATAATTGAGTGCAAAAAATAGTCTATAATTATCATTATAGTAACTAGAATTGAAACTTTCAGTCAAAACAAAACCAAAAAAAAACAACGAAATACGAAAACAGCATATGACAATTTACAAATGAATGAGATTTGTAAAGTGAAAAAAATTATACCCTACAATTCGTAACCTTTCTGTAGATTGTCTTTTTGCGTGTCCTCTCTACTTGCCATTTAAATACGTTTGTTTTGTTGAGCATTTATTTTGTGGTTAGATTTCCGAGTTTTTTTTTATCTATTTTCATCAATCGGGAAATATTGGTCGATCGAAAAAAAAATGAAAAAGTTGCCGGATAATAATTATGATTTAACTTTCGATATTCTCTATTCTTCTTCTTTTGTTGTTGTTGAATGTCTCGTGATGATTTCGATCATTATTATGACAGATTCGATCAATTTCATCATTCATTCATTCATTGTTGATGTATTTGCCATTAGCCATTCAAGAAAAAAAAATATTTTGTCTTCAAAATCGTATTCGAATCATTCCAATTGCTTGTTTAGAAACAAAAAAAAATTTACAATTATGAAATCACGTTTTTGTGAAGAATTTGAATATCAAAAACAATATTATTTTGATCAAACATTTCCAATTGAACAAATTAAAAATAATATTGTATTTTCGGTTGAAGTTTGGCCACCATTTATAAATCTATTTAATTTGAAAAAAAATTCATCAACAATTATATGTGGTCCATTATTGGGCTATCTAATTGAATTGTCTTATAAATTGAAAAGCAAGTAAGTGTTAAATGAATGTAAATTGTCCTTGTTTTTATTGAATTGATTTTTTTAACTAATTTTGTTCAAGTTTAACATATATACCTGATTTAGAGAATAATACATTACCTTTTGCTGGTTTCGATGAATATGGTATCAATCTTATTCTTACACCATTTACACCAATGAATAAATTTGATGAATTTGTTCAGGAACATATACATCTAAGTCGAATAGTCAATGATGTACCTATGTTAAGCATACTATCAGGAAAGAAAAAATTGAAAATAAATTGGTCTGTGTTCAATTCGTTTAACGTTTCATTCGTTCATCTTAATATTATATTTTTTCTATTCATCGGTTATTGTATGTTGATTTCAAATTGGATGATTATTGGTTCATGGAAATTAAAAATCATTTATGATATGATACGTTGTTTGCTTACTCAACCAATACAACGATTACATCATGAAAAAATAATCCGTTATTTTATGCTGAATCTATTATGGTTATCATTTTTTCTGAAACTTTTTTTATCATATACATTATTGGCACTTAATCAATTTGGCCAAGCTCATGATAAAATTGATTCATTGAATGATCTAGTTCGTCATCGAAATATGGAAATTTTTCTTTTCGAAGGTGAACCATCTCAAACTATATTGACAGATTCGGATCATCCACTCTATGCTGATTTGAAAGATCGTCTTTTAATTCAAGGTTTGATCATTAATCTTCATTTTTTTTTGGAATTTTGATAATAGAATTATTAGTTTATCTTTATTTTTAATCAACAGATCCACCAAATGAAAGTATTGAAGAATGGGAAATTCAAATTGCAAATGAAATAAATGAACGAAAAATAGCAATGATAAGTGATCAATATTATCTTGATCATTTATACAACACGTTTATCAATGAATTTCCGAACCTATATCGATCAAAACAAAATACTGTTATACAGCCATATTATCTTCCATTAAGTAATAATAATTCAAATAAGATGGATGAATCATTCAATGAAATGTAAGAGTAAATAAAAATGAACATTTATTGAAAATGAAATGAAAATCAATAATTATTATTATGATTATTTATGGTTATTTATTTCGGGTATTTTGAAATTTATAAAATGCCTTTAGGATAAGAATATTATCGGAAAATGGCTTGTACAATTATTGGGTGTTGGAAACATTCTATCATGCTGAAATGGAAACACAAAAGAAAATGAAAAAATTCAAACGAAATGATGATGAACGTTCATCACATAAACATTCGATGGATGATTTTCAAACAAAATCATTGTCCATCAATGATATACAGGCCATCATATACATATATTATATATTTTCAATCAATTCTTTAGTAATTTTTTTCATAGAAATTATTAATTATAAATTTCCATTGAAAAATATTCAATCAATATTATTGTCAATAGGAAAAAAATTACTAAACAAATTGTTTAATATAATTAAAATGTCAATAAACAAATTATTTAAAGAATAATTTATTTTCAAAATAAACTGATAATGTTGATGATGTTAATGATGAAAAGAGACATGTAATAATTGAAAGAATTAGAGAATATAAAAAGTTAGAATAATGATGACGATGATGATGAATGAGAATCGAAATAAACAAACAAACAAACAAACAAAAAAACTAAATTAAACTAAATTAAATTAAATTATATTAATCATCTCAATCGTAATGTGAATGTTTTGTTTGTTTGTTTTTTTTCGTATGAAAAAACGTGAAATCAAAAATAATTGCTATTTGTCTTTTATTTTTATTTTTGGTTTTTTGTTTATTTTCATAATAATGATCATGGTGTTTCAATGAATTTGTCTGTGTTGTAAAGAGTCCTTGTCTTTTGCATCATCAAAAACATCATTTGAAAATCATTATTATGAACACGAATTTATAAATGTTTGTTTGTAACATGAATTTATTTATTTATTAGATTTTTTGTATGATGATTTTTGTTAAATTGATTTAGCAAAAAGTTTGTTTCACTAATTGTAGTCCTTTGAATAGGGTTTGATTTTGAAAATTTATAGGAGTTTCACAACGTGGTTCATCGGATATTAATCTAACTGAATCCATTGGTTCTTCTAAAATCCATGTCAATCGACAACGACAATCCCAAGGATTTTCACTCAATTGTAATACTTGAGCAACGCCTGGTCCGGCACTTGGCAAAAATGGTAAAGTTGTAAGACGATTTTCCGATAGTAAAACTTCACGAAGTTCGGGTAATTTTTCGAAAAATTCTCCATTTAAACTTGTCAGTTTATTATGGTCAAGTTTTAATGTACGTAAACGATAAAGATGTGGTGCAAATGCTTGACGTGATAAATGTGTAATCTGATTTCGACTTAGATCAATCAATTCAAGTTCGGCAAAATTATAGAATGCACCACTTTCAATCAATGAAATATTACATGATGTTATGATCAATTTGAACAATTGCATCGGTTCATTTCGTGTACCATAATGGCCAAGACAACGAGTAGAAAATGTTGATGAAATCATATCACCAGCAACAAGACAATCTTTAAGTATAAGTTCATTTAGACGTTCAAATTTCGGTTGAAATAGACTACAAGATGTAGACATTCGTAACATATTTCTATGCATTATAATTTGTTGTACATCACGATCGACAGCAATTAAATTATCATAATGTCGTGGTTTTGAACAATCACCCACAAATAATATTGAATCAAAACGAGGACCATCAGTAAACAATTCATATGAAATATGAAAACTTTTATTTGGTGGTATGGTTGATTGTTTTGTTGTACCAGAATTATCTGAACTAGTAGCCGTTGGATCATCATTAGAATATGGTTCTATACAATGAATCTCTAATCGATTCCAATAGATAGAACGTGTAGAATTCAATAGATGATCAAATGCTCGACGAATTTGATCAACCGATTGTACATTATAACAGATAAATGTACGGGACAATAAATCACAATCACAAAATAAATCATTATCAACATAGGAACAATTTTTAAGCAATTTTGTATAGTTTAAATTTGATGACCATTCTTGATAATGAAAAACATGACGATCGATTAAATGTGAAACGGCAGCAACAGCAGCGGCTGCATCTTCAGCTGCTAAAGCTTCTTCATCATTGGCTGTTGCATCGGGTGTTTGTGCAGGATGATGATGATTGTCCGATGTTCCAATAATTGATTGTTGTTTTGCATCAATAATTTTCACAGACAATCGTCCACAACAAAATAACAATAATAAAATTGTTGACAATAAATAATTCTTCATTATTCAAATCAAATTGATTGATATTATGTAACGAAAAGCACACGCTATAATTTCAAATTTAACACCGCGTACATGTGAACAGGATATACAAAAATACTAGATGATGAAACTAGATAAAAAAAAACAATTCAAACCAGGATTCACTTGAATCAAATGTTTGTTTGTTTGTTTTATGAAGTAGTGGATGATGGTGATGGACAGTTGCTTTTTGATGTTCTGGTCTTTTTAAGGAATAAATATTGATTCAAAAACAAAAACTTCAAAGAAGGATACACTAAATATTAGGCATAGTGGTACAATGGAATGTTAATACAGATCATACTGTATCATATTTTTCAATCATATATTCTATCTATTTCTTTAAGAGTGTTGATCACTATTAAAAACAAAATAGTCAACAACCGAAAGAACAACAACCAGAACAGAAAAAAAAAGTCAATGACAAAAAATTTGATGAACGGATGTAGCTTGTTAAATAAGGAAAAATATACTCAAGATGCTAATATTTTGAATGATAGAAGCAAAAAACAAAAAAAAATATTGCTTGTAATGAAATTGGAAACCATCGCATCCTCATACAACACATCACTAACCCCCCTCTCCTCCCCGTAGAGATCCAGAAATGATCCGATTTGAATGTGTGAAAAAAGAGACACCAAAAAAAATATAATCAAAGACAATAACAAGAAAAAAAAACGAGAAGCCATTTGCTTTTACATTCGAGGTCGTGTTTGTTCATTCCATTCAAAGGCGTGTATGTGTGTGTGTGTGTTAAAGCTCATTATATTTTCATTGATCCGTTTCATTTCGTGTGTGTGTTTTATCAAATTGACATTTTCATTGGAAATTGGATACCAAAAGATGATGATGATGACAAGTTTAAAGAAGATAATAAGGAGAAAGTTTTTTTTTTGCTGGAAAAAAAATCGAATCAAAAAAAAAACATAGAATGACATAATGAAACAAGAAGAAAAATAAAGTGTAATTCAAGTTGAATAACATGAAGGCGGTATTAACAAAAACAAAAATAAGGAGTATCACAAAAATTAACATCAATCAATTTGGGATTCTCTTCTTTTTTTTTTGTTGAAAATCTTTAATGTTCATCATGTTACATGATGATATGATTGAAATGTCCAACCAAATAATTTTCAAATCTAAATGATTTTAGATTTCTAGGTTTACTAAACAAAACAAAGCGAAAAAATTCAATGGATATTTAGTGACTTTGTATTTTGATTTTTTTCCTTCTTTGTAGATTTTGGAAATTCCTGGCTTTAGGCTTGCCATCACAAACACATACATTGACTGTTTATTATAGAATTTCAAAGAATTTTTTTTTTGTTTAATATTCCTGGAATGCAAACATAGCATAAACCGGAACAAAAGTGAAGCAAAAAGAAAAAAAATAGATTAAAAAACTGTTTGAAATGAAATTGCAAATGTGTTCATCATCATCATCATCATCATCCAAAAAGGGTTAAATGTTTATATTCATTCCTTCTCATTTGTTTTTTTTTCTCATTTCATTAAAATCTGATTTATTTTTTGCTTTTGTTGGATGCTAAAAAAGTAAAAAGTGAGAAAAAAAATAAACAAACACATCATCATCATTCTATGGAAAAGTCAATTAATAATTTTTGGTTTTTTCTGTATAAAGGCTACTTTAAAAAATGATAATTTTCGTTGTTGTTAGTTGAAACTTTTTTTTCAAGCTATTTTTATCCTGAATCTATTTTGACAAAAAAGAGTGAAAGAATTCCCTTTGAAAAAGAAATGGTCCATAAATCGGGTTAAAATGGCCAAGATAAAAATTATTCGTGACAATATGTAGTGTGTTCAGCGATAAACAACAAAAACTGGAAATAAACTAACTGAATATTAAAATATTCAAAAAGGAAAATGTAAACAAATTCCAGTTTAGATTCAATGTACATTGTATATTGTTTTGTTCATTTTTTTGTTCGGTTGGCCTTGCCATTTGTTATTATTATTTAGAAATTCAAATAAAACTAAAATTTTTAAATTTTTGAATCTTGACAAAAACTATTTGCTGTTGGTTCTTTTTTTTACACTGGTTACGTATTCCATTAGTATTTGCATTACAATCATTGGATACAGGAAAAAAATCGCTCAATTATAGTTGTTGTTGTTACGATGTTTTACCAGATTTTTTTTTGAAAACTTTATCAACTACGATCATCATTTAGATTGATGATGATGATTTGATACGGTGATTTTTGAATATTGTAAAAATTTTTTTAAATAAAAACTTTAAATTTTTTGAATTAAGAATCGATTGAAACAGATGTCACATGGTAAAATTCATAAATATTGACAAAATATTTTCATCGAAAATTTATGATTTTTGAAAAAAATCATCACTATCAGGGCATCATAAATCATTAATCCATTATAGTTTTTTTCAGAATCCTTGAATTCTAGAATTTTTTTTTTATAATCTAATAATTTATTATTTTATTACAAAAAACCCTTATACCTAAAAAATAAGGGTAAATAATTTATTAAAATAATTTATTAGTAAAAGTAACAATAAATATTTCATTCGAATTGTTGACTTATTATAAATTGCCTGATGATTTTTTTCAAATAAATTTGTTTATTAAAATTGACCAAAATGTTTGATCGGTCATTTTGGTTATGTTTATGTTGGTGGTTGATGACCATTACATTTGTATGGGCTGCAAAATATCCTATCATCGTGGATAATGAGAAAAGTATGCATAGATTTCCATATAAACCAATATATGGTTTACCTGATAATTTGAATTGTACAAATGATTTACGAAAAAAATTTAATGAATGTGAAGATGATGCCAGTGAAACATGGTCAATTACGATTGATGAATATGTAAGAAATTTTTACCTGATCAAAGAAAAAATTCTAAAAATCATTCATTTTTGTTTTGAATAAAATAGTTTTATGAAACAAGAAAATTTTGTTGTTTTGCCTGGTCACAATTAACATGTGAAATATCTGTAGCCAAAGAATGTGAAAAAGAATACGCTGAATTACTTCTACAACAAACAATAGATTCATTTGATAAAATTTGTAGTTCAAAAAATTATGGCAGTAAAAGCATTCCTTGTTCGATTACACCAAAGATACAGCAAATATTAATTATTGTTGGTGTGATTGTTGGAATAATAACATTTTTGTGTTTGATAGCTGGATTGGCATATAAATGTAATCAAGCAAGTAAAATAGGTAAATTAAAAACCCAAGCATACAAGTTAGCTGAAGAAAATAAAAAGAGGTAATATTTGAAAAATTCTTTGAATTCTATTTTATTAACTAAATTCGATGGTTTTTTGCTCACCTTTATTGATTCATGTTGGTTGTTTAATATTCAGGGAAATTCAAGCCATATTGGATAGTTATAAAGGACGTGGTGCAAAGTTGAATAAGCAAGGACAGCCATCAAATATAGGATCATCATTTTTAACAAAAAAGAATGATTCTAAAAAGTTACTTGTTACTAGTGGATCCATTCGGAATATTCCACAATCTTCCCAAGATCAAACAGATATCATAATAACTTCAACATCAAACCAACCCGAATTGGAGAATATTACGAAACCGGACTCTTCATCTTTAACAGATGGAATTCTCATTGAAAATGCTAATAAAAAAGGTAAGTAAAAATTTACCTGATTTGAATATGATTAGTAAATCTTTATTATCATAAAAACTATCGGATTTCTAATTCAAAATAACAGTAGCACCACCAAAACCACCAAGAAAATCGAAAATGTTGGTGAGTCCTACGGCGGAACCGGACATTTCATCTTCAACACAGGGAAGTCACCTCGAAAATGCTAATAAAAAAGGTAAGTCCTTTATAATTGGTTTGAATAAGATTAGAGTAAATCTTTATTAACTTAAAAACTATCGAATTTCCAATTTAAAATAACAGTAGCACCACCAAAACCACCAAGAAAATCGAAAATGTTGGTGAGTCCTACAAAACCGGACATTTCATCTTCAACACAGGAAAATCTTGAAAATTCTAATAAAAGATGTATGTACTATATTTGATTTGAATAAGATTAGTATATTTTTATCATCATAATTATCTTAATAACTAACGGATAACAGTAGCACAAAGACCAATACCAAAAAAATTAAAATACCAGAATTTAGGGGAATTGTGGGCTTCATTTGCATTAAAAGATGATCAAACCAATGTTAATAAAGCAGGTAAGTCTATATCTGATTTGAATATTAATAAAATATTGTCTAATGCCACTGAATTGGTATATTAATGCCATCGTGTACATAAAACAGGTCAGGAACGAATTCTAATACCAGTAGACCAGATGTCTGATGAAAGTAAAAGAAGGTAATATTTGAAAAAAATTCTCTGAATAAATATTAACTAAATTTGATCGAATTTTTTTCTCATCTTTAATGATTCATGATGAATAATGGTTCAATATTTAGAGAAACTGAAGCCATATTTGAAAGTTATAGAGGACGTCCATTTCGCCAGTATCAAACAAGGACGAATAAAAGTATAACAACAAATCAATCAGCCATTAATAAAAAAGGTAAATTTGATTTAAATATGATTAGTAAATATTTATCAATTATTATTATCTTTAAAAGTATCGGATTTATAATTTCTGAATCTTGCAGGTCTTGGTGGAATTACGTCCGACATTTCATCTTCCTCACAAGGAAATCTTGAAAATGCTAATAAAAGATGTATGGTACTATATTTGATTTGAAAATAAGATTAGTAAATTTTTATCATCATAATTATCTTAATTTTTAATTTACAATAACAGTAGCACAAAGACCAATACCAAAAAAATTAAAATACCAGAATTTAGGGGAATTGTGGGCTTCATTTGCATTAAAAGATGGTCAAACCAATGTTAATAATCAATGTAAGTATCTATCTATCTGATTTGAATATGATTTGTAAAACCTTTTAAATCACATAAAATCATCTTAAAAACTTTCGGAATTCTAATTTACAATAGCAATATCACCAATACCAACACCAACACCAACGCCATCATCTTCATTACCAATAACAACAACCACCGATAAATTGACTTCAAACATTAGCCAAGAATTGTTGAATGTAAGCATGGATAAACTCATATAAAACAAGAAATACATCAATCGAAATTATAAAAAATATGTTTGTTTTCGGATGAAACATCACCAATCACATTATCATTAATCAGTTACGTTTGATTTTTATTTATTGATTACTTAAAAGTAAAAAAAAAAGAAACAAACAAATCTTATTTCCATTCATCATAAATAATAATAATAATAATTTATTCAATTTTTTCAAAAATTACAAATAAATTTACATTTACATTGCATATAGAATAATGGTATTAGATCGTAAGTATTAGAGAAGAAAAATTGTCATTTTTGTAGAGGTTATGATGATGATTTGGTTGGATGTTGGTTAATAGTGATATACAATGTTAAAATATTGTTTCCAAATGAAATGATAAATGATAATATAAACAAAGAAACAAGAAAAAAGAAAAAAGAATATTTTGTCCACAGAATCTTATATAATTGTTTTTGTTTTTAGTTTCTGATTCATGAAGAATGGTAATATTCAAGAAGAATTTTGTTGTTGTTGTTGTTGAAAAAAGTTATGTAACTTTTGGAAAATGAATGTATGAGTGTGTTTCAACAAAAAGAACGAGAAAAAAGATGTTGAAAAAATCTCCATGCATGTATCCAGGCGTGTAATTTGTTTGTCTGTTTTTTTTCATAATGAAAAACATATAAGATTAGAATGTGTAAATGAAAATGATGAGAGAGGGGTCAGAATAGAAAAGAAACATTGGAATTTTTTTTTCAACGTTGTCAATGTGAATTGGAATTTTGTTTTTGTCTCGAAAGATTTTTTCAGAAAAAACAAAAATTATTCAAACGAACAGGAACAAAAACATGTGTGCACTGAAAACAAAACAAAAAAAAATATTTATGAAAAAAACCTGTCATTTGGACAAATTCTAAGCGAAAAAAAAACTAATAAGAATGTTGTTTTTTTCAAAGAATGTTCTTTAACTTTTTTGAAAAAATGTTTTTTTCCATTTATTTCGAAAATATTTTTATTTTACCCTTTGTTCAGAATCGAAAATAAATCATAATTCAAATAATTCAAATGGATTCGAATTGTTCAGTTCATATATCAAGAATTTTATTCTTTTTTTCCATAATTCCTTTGAACAACAACGAAAATGAAAAAAAGTGTGAAAAGAATGTGAATTTCTTTATTGATTCTTGAAATTCATATTAAATTGAGAGAAAAGAAAATTTTTTTGTTGTTTTTTTTTCAATTTCAAAAATATTTGACTGAATTTGGATGTTGATATGCGCATGAATATTTGAAAAAGAGATAATGAAATTATTAAACAAAAACTAAGGCAAACGAAAAACCAAAAACACACCGACAGAATCTAAACCCAACTAAATTCTGTTTATGAAACAAGTTTCAAAATTTGTATCAAAAAAGTTCAACCGAAATTTCGCAATCAAATTAATTAATAATTCCATGTTGAATGATAATTAATCAAACGTTGAAGATATGCTTTTTGTTTTGTTGTAATCGGATTTAAAAAATTCATATTTGAAGTTGAACAAAACCTTCACTATTTCACCATAATGAGCTTCGCTGTGTTTGTAGAGTGAATTATTATTATTTTTTCAAATATCTGATCGGAATGAAATTCAAAAAAAAAATCAGCCTATTTTGAAATGATAATTATGAAGATAAAACAATGCATTTTGGTTGGGAATTTTGATCACAGTTTATCAAAGATTTTGTGATGAAAATTTCTAATGAAAACCGACAAAGATTTTCTTTCCTGTCCACACACACACACACAACAAAACAACAACAAATATCATTTACAACAAACAAACAAACAATCGAATCTTGAATTTTGATTTTGTATATTTTATTTTTTTTTAAATAAATATCAAATTAAAACAACAACAACAACCATAACCACTCGGACAAATATAATGGATGCTATTAAATGGAAAGAAAAAATATTATTTTTGTTTTTTTCATTTTATTAATTATATAATTAAGAAATACATATTTTGTATATTGTTTTTGTTTTGTTTTGTTTAATAGTCGTGTTGTATGATGCGATTTTCGGCAACAGCGGTATTTAGAGAATAAACATTAAAACAGTAAATGTGTGTTTCTGTATATAGTGTGTTGTTTTGTATATAGTGAATGTAGAATTTGTTGAATTTTTTTTTGTTGTCTAAATGTTTTTGCAAATCCTGAGCACAATCAATTAGTTTTGTCTATCTGGATGTATCTGTAAGTGTGTGTGTGTTTGATGATATTTTGATAAATATTGAGCTTTTATTAATTGGTTATCAAAAAAAAAATCAGGTCGAAAAAGAAAATTCCAGATAATAATATTGAAAAATGAATTGAAAAAAAGAAAAGAAAAGAGAAGTGAACAGAATAGTCAAATATATTCTACAATCATCATTTATAACTTTTTTGTTTTGTTTTCAATATTTTTTACAGTGTTTATGTTTCAATTTAATAAATAAAAAAAACGAAATTATTGATATTGGGGAACAGACCAGAGAACAAAAAAAAAATCAGGTCTGGATAAATCAGGTGAACAAGAAATAGAAAAAAAAGAAGAAAATTTTTTTCAATTTTCAATATTTTCTTTTTTACAAACACATTACAAAACACATTCATAATAATGTTTTGTTTTGTTTGGAAGATTATTACTATTTTTGTTTGTTTCTAGGTTAAATTATCATTATGTATCCAAAGTTAACAAGGGAAAAAGAAAAACTCCAAATAGGTTTGAATACATAATAATAAATTATCAATATTGATCAGGGCCAAAATCCATTTTTTTTTAATTTGAAAGTGAAAAATATTTCTGATTAAATTCAGAATTTTCTACTGGAAAAAAGTACTAAATTTTCCTATTTCGGTGTATACTAAAACTGAAGAATTATGAAAAAGAATGCATTGAAAAACTGAATGTCGTGAACGAATAATGTTTTCTTACGAAGGAAAAAAACCGATTGAAAAAATTCATTTCACAATAATTTACATATCTTAATCCATTCCAGAAAAGTTTTCTTCTACTTATTCTTCTCATTGCTAGATTAATAATAATCTTTTTTTTTGTTATAAACAAATTTCAATTTAGTCAAATTGAATGAATTTTTCATCATTTTTTTATCCTCAGTCATTTTCGTCAACGTTTTTCAAAAATTTTCAATACATTTTTTGCTTGAAATACTTTTGTAGCTAAATAATGTGTGTGTGTGAGAGAGAGAAAGGAAAAAATCGAATTCTAATCAATTTTATCTTGTTTTTGCTGTTGTTGTTGTTGTTGTATAATCATCATTGAATGTCATTATTGATCATCGAGAGAGGGAGAGAGAGAGAGGAAAAAGAATCAATAAATTTTCAAACCATAATCCAAAAGTAAAAAAAAAATTGAAATTGCCAAAACTTTTAAGAAATTCAAATCAAATAAAAAAGTTTATTTTTCATCTCACGCAAATAGATAGAGAGGGAGAGAGAGAGAGAAACGAATCAGAATCCTAAGATCTTGGCATGAATATTACATGTATATCATCATCATTATCATTATCATTTTGGAAAATTTTCTTCATGGAAATCATTTCGCCCACACACACAAACACACACACATCTCATTTTGGAAATATAATTTCATTCAATGTTTCTTATCATAAAAGTAGTAGGATATTATTATTACAACTACTTATCATATTCAGTATATAATGGTCATCATTATCACTGTTTTAATCATTATCAACGGAAGTTTGGTTTTGATAACCCAAAACAAACTGCAAAACTAAAGAATCCTAAAAAAACAAGGTCTAGAAAATATAAAGGAAATGATAAGTTCAAGTGTGTGTGCTTCTCTATCTTTTCAGTAGATTTATATTTGAATGTTTGTAATATGAAATGAATGAATGAAGAAAAAACTAGAACGAATAAAGAAAAACTTTCATTTCATTTCATTCAATCTTTTTTTATCTTTTTTTCTGGTTACTTCACGTAATTTTTTTTGTGCAAATGAATCAATCGGACTTATAAATTCTGGTATCTTTTTATCTGGTTCTTGGTATTATGGTAGCATTTGGTTTCAAGCATTTTTTTTCAAAAAAAAGGATCCATCCACATAAATGATGTATAAGCATCATGTACATTTTAAGTTTTTCATTCATTCATACAAATTTCATAGATTTTGTCTTTAAAGAATATTCTAATGACAGTAATCTTATCATTTACAAACGGAAAAAGAAAAGAAAACCATAATAAAACCAAAAAAGAAGAATGCTTATAAAATCATTAAAAAAAATTTCATAATTTCAGAATTTTCATAATAAACACTAAAAAGGATTATTAAAGTTTTTTTTTTATTAATGTTTATCATTTTGTCAATTGAATTTTCTTCTTCTTCTTTACTTAAAGTATGGAATAAGTAAGCTAATGAAAAAAAGTAGGAAAAGAACAATGAACCAAGAGAAAAACTAGATCAATTATCGATCCAGAAACAACGACTAGATAGTGATAGTAGTAGTAGCATAGAAACTATTTTGACCTAACCAACTGAAGAAGAAGAAGAAGAAAATGATGATGATGGTAATAATAATAAATTTCAAATGACAGAATTTGAAAAACAAAACAAAAAACATTTTCTACTTTTAAATAAAATTAGCTACACTTTGCCTGAATGACAATGTATCTTTTTTTCCATCTATCTTCACTCCACTCTCAATCTCATCTACTAAATCTGATGATGTTCCAGAAAAAAAATGATTTGATTTAAAGGGGAAAATTCTCAAACAAACAGACAAACATAGACAGAATTCTCTCTTCTTTCTTCCTTTTATTTCTGTTTGAAAAGTGTCAAAAACAACACATTGGAAATGATGACAAACAAACAAACAAACACATCAATAATGACAATGATGAAAAATATCCAAAAATTTGCACCAAAAATAAAGGAAACAAATAAACATTGAATGGAGACCAAAATGTTTGGAAACAAACAAACACCTACGCACATACACATCAATTTATTGCGAAGAATTTGGAATTAGAAAACAAAACAAAAAACAAAAAAACAATGTCAACAACAACAACAACTTGAACAATTTAATCTGTTTTTTTCCCTTGAATTGTTTTGCGAATCAGGTTTATTCGTTTGTTTTGTTTTGTTATAATGAAAATTCTATGAAAGTCCATGATTCACATAATGATGATGATGTGATCTAGTAAATCTGTATTTCGTATATTTTGTTCTGTTTTCCTCTCAGACTATCTTGTTGTTGTTTTTTTTTGCTTGCTTGCTTGCTTTACACAATTCACCAAATAAATAAACCTAAATGATTTTTCTTTTTCTCTCTGATTCATCCGATTACGATATATAATTTAGATAAAGTGTATGGTCTAGGTTTTTTATTTTTGTCAGGAATTCAATATATATAAAAAAAAGATTGTTTCAGAACCAAAAAAACATCATAAGGAAATGTAGGCGGATGAATGAAACCCGTAAAATAATCGTATATAACTTTTTCCGTTTTTTTTTCCTTCTCGTTGTTGTTGCCAACAACTCTACGGGATAGTGAGAAACATTAATATATCTAGATTGAAAAAAAAAGAAAAAGAAAAAACTAAACTGTTTATCATCATTGACTTTCACATCGATGGAATGTGTGTGTCTGGGTGTGTATATTTCAAGGAATAGATCGATAGTGAAACGACATGACCACATTATCAACAACAACAAAAAAAAGAAGTAAAGAAGTAAACAGGAAAAACATATCAAGAAATTAAGAAAAAAAGGAAAAAAAAATGATCACCCGAAGCAATTGAATGGTCTGCAAATGATAGTGGTGAACACCAATTCTCGAATGAAAATAATGAAAAGAATAAATAAATAAATAAGAGAAGAAGAAAGAAAAATGTTTCTAATTTTGGGACATTTTCTTTTGATTGCAATTTTGAATGCAAGAAATTCAGGTGAAATAATAATAAAGATTGAGTTTTTTTTGGAATTGTCGTTTGCGGTCGGTTTTAGCCTATTCTTTAGGAAAATGTTCTTTTTTCCCAGCAATCGATGAAAATGATGAATGAAAATAAAGCGAGAAAAATAAATAAAAAAAAGTTGTCAGTTTCTGGTAATGTCGTACGGAATTGATCAGGAAAAAAACATACGTGTTAAGGGGGAAAAAAATACAAATTTGATTTTGATACAATCCTAATTGATGTTTTTTTTTTGTCTTGTAAGATGCGAAAATGTTGACGCGGTTATATATTCAGTTATAATCATGATGAATGATTTTTCTTTCTGGATATTAATAGATTTCCATGGATTGTTGTTGTTTACATATATAAAGATTATTTGATGATGGAAAATTTGTCTCATTAAATAATGATGATAAATATATTGATCGATGTGATGGTTTATATGCGTGCTTGTATTATGTATTTGGTCGATTTTTTTTCCCCTTTCTCTCCTAATTCGCTTGAATTAGACTATTTTTGTTGAATGTAAAAAAGAACTAATGAAAACTATGTGAATAATAAAATGTTATGATGAAAAATTTTTGTTTTTGTGCTATTCTCGTCTGGATTTTGACCCTAAAAGAGTAAAAAAGAAACGCGTGTTCGACGCGCATCTCCTTCACCCGAAGGTTTGAGGGCCCTACGGCCCATACCGAATTGTCAGATGTCTGGATCAGATGATGCAACACCACCTTTTGACATTGCACCACCTTCAAAAAACATTTCCGTATCTTGTCGATATGATGGTGATAATGTACGTGCACGTGTACGTAATGCACCTTGCATATCCAAATTATGCTAGAATTTAACAGAAAAAAAATAAAAAAATAGAAATTAGTTTTTACAGAAAAAAATTCAAATCAGATAAAGAGAAAAAAAATTAGTAAAACGAACCTTGTTGGCACAATTAAGGCTAGCACTTACAACATTAGTTATAACTGACATTAGATTTTTTGTTTCTTGTATAACATTATCAACTTTAGTAAAAGTAGCTGTTTTACCAACGGTAACATTTTTAACAGCAAATTGTAATTGCTGTACATAAGTTGGTACCTGATCGATACAATCCAAAAGCTCTTTTTTTGGTGCACCAGTTGGAATCTAAATCATTTATTTTTTTTGTCAAGTAAAAATTATAGAAAGTAAATTAAATTCAAAATTAATCGAAGCGTAAATAGTAGTTTTCATCGATTGAATAATAATGAAAACAGAAATTGAAAAATGTGAAGCTAAAGAGAAGAAATTCTTGTTTATTTTTATAACGAGTAAAAACAAATTTTCTTTATATTTGCTTCATTCATGTATTAAATTCATTCATTCATTAACAAACATACCTGATAGGTAAAATGTCTAACAATTTTATATAATTTATTGGCTTCTTCGGCAAAAAATTCTGCTTGAGTGAATAAATCTTGTGTTGTTTTTAATTCACCTTCACCACGAGTAAATTGAAACATTGACATTGCCATTGATGACATTGCTTTAGCTTTTCTTACAATATCATTATCATCCAAATCAACTGATGGTGCGGAAGATTTTTCAATTTCATATACTTCAACTTCTGGATTGATTTGTACATTTGTTGGACGAGAAGTAGCAGCAGCAGCAGCACCGGATACAACAGAAGGATCTTCAATATCAGGTATAGCGGCAGCTGCACCAGGCATTGCAGCTACACCATACATATCTGTACCGGGTGTATCACCTGTCATTAATATTGGTTCTTTACCCGGTTCTAGATAACCATATGATTGTACATTTCCTTTCATTGAAATTGGTGCCGTAGCTAATGATGGTGATGATAATATTGATCTTGTAGCACCGGGTGGAACTAATCGTCCCATTGATAATGGTGATGATTGTTGTTGTTGTTGTTGTTGTTGTGTAGCCGAAGGTGGAACATGTGGTATAGGTGGTGGTGGGGGTTGAGCCGGAACTGGTGGACGATTCAATAGTTCACGTTCATGTTGTTCATGAAAATAATCGCTTATATCACGCATTATTTGTGATATATCACCAACTAATGATGACCAAACATCGGCAAATACTTCATAATTTTCTTTTACAATTTTACTATTTGGATATAATATTAATGTATGTAATGCTGTAAGTAATTGTTCACCATGTATTTCAATTGATGTTTCCGTATGACCAGCGGTCACTTGTAATGATGAAGTTGGTGATATATGAAACAATAAACGACAAACTTCTTGAACATGATCAGAATGTTCACGAAATTGTTCAATAAGTTCATCAATTTGTTCATGATCACAGTCGATTGCTGAACCTTTGAGCAATACTGGCAGGTCGATTGATGATGTATGATGACGAAATAATTCATCCGCTTGTTCTAATGAAACATTTTGTAGCTTTGTATGAAAATTGATAGCAGAAATAACACACAACACAGGCACATCACAAATAAATATGCACAGACACACACACACACCACATTTAATATGTATGAGTTTGATCGATTGAAAGAATTCCAGATCCAAAAAAAACAGAAACAGAAACATAATGTTGGAATCAAAAAAAAAAGATAAAAATAGAAAAGGAAAAAAAAAGTTTTAGAAAAAAAGTTGCATTTCAATTTGTCTATAAATTATTGATTGATAAAACGAAAATGTAAAGGAAAAATATAAAGGTTACCTTGTTTTTTAGCTCATTGGATATATTGGTTATTTGTAAAATATATTGTTCAAATTCATCACCAATCACTGTAGATGTTTGAAAACAAGGTGAATCATCTTGATTATTAAATTCCTATCAATTTATCAAAAACATAAAAGAGAAATAAAGAGAAGAAACGAAAAAATATTAAATGAAAATTGTAATTTATAAATGGAAAATAACAGGAATTAATTGTATGGCCAAAATTGTGTGTTCAATTTGGCCACATGAAATTGCATTAAATCGTTTTTTTTTTCTCTGGATTTAATTTTGGCAGGAAAAAAACAGAAAAGTTGGACTACAGGACCAGGGAAAAAACAAAAATAATAATAAATTCAAGATAATATAATTTCAACTGGACAAAAAAGAAAAAGAAAAGCAATAAGAAAAAAAACAACAACAGAGAAACTATTTAGGTAAACACAATGCTTTTTTTTCTCATTTTATTACCCTGAATATTCTATATTCGATACAAGAAGAAACTTGAAAGGAAGAAACTTTTTTTCAGTCCTCATCATTCATTCATTCATTCATTCATTATAATCATCATTATTTCATTGTTTGTTTTAATGTTTTTCATTTATTTATTTTTTTCCTGGTCATTTAAAGACGACCATTCTTCAGTTTTTCTGGAACACCACACCAGAAGTTGTGGTATAAATATTGTTCATTAGTTTTGTTTCAGTTAAAGAAAATTAGTCCAAAATAAATGTAGCAAAGAAAGAAAGAAAGAAATCTTGATTCCAGAAACAAACAAACAAACAAACAGGAAAATAAACTTGAATGACATTCACACTTTTATTACAATGTCATTTTTTTCTTCTATTCTTGATATTAAAATGCTGAATTGACAATATAAATTCATTTGCACCCTGATGAACCGAATTATATTTTTTTCAATGTTTCTATTTTTGGTTTTTCCATACCACAAATATCCAAGATAATTTGGTTATCTAAATGAACAGGCATCAAAAAATTTTATCGTTTTTTCGGTGGCTATTTATGTTATTGGTTGATAAAACCAGAAAAGTAGAGAAAAAAAAATGTCAAACCTTGAAGAATGTCCCATTATAGTGGCAATGATGATAATAATTAAATTAACAATTGTCACACACACACACATCGTAGAATTCAGTCAACATTGAAAACAAAAAACTAGCAATAAATTATTGATATCAATCAATCGATCAATCCAATAATATCTCAAACATCTATAGATAGATAAAAATAGATATAAAATACATCATCATCATCAATATCCATGAAACAGAAATGAAAAAAAAAAGTTTAATTCTATTCTACTTTTGTCCAGTTATGTCAAATTTCATTCGGAATATTAAAAAAAACTGAACAGAATTTCATTCATAGATTTTTTTTCTAAGATAGCCAAAGAAAAATAAAAAATTTTTTTTATCATGATCATCAATTATAATCGATTGAATGGAATGTTGTTGTTGTTGTTTTTCGATTCAATTGTATTTTTTTAAAAAAAAACAACATTGCAACATTTGAAAAACTATTCATTTTATTTATTTAATGTTTTTTATTTGTTCTGGAGAAACAATTTGACCATTACAGAATAACAACAACAACAGAATAAAGAGAATGAAACTGTGTGATTTTACAGTTTAAAAAAAAACAAAGATTATTCGCGAATGGTTTTTTTTCCTGGATTTTCTTTTCTTCCTGGTTCCAATATCTTATTCTCTCTTTTTCTGTCGATTTTTATTTCGATAACAATAAAATTCAATGGAAAAAAATAACAAAATTCATGAAGCGAAAATAACGACAATAACTATAGTTAGAAAATCAAGAAAGGAAAAAAATAAATTATGGCTTCCTATTCAGGAATGGAAAAACTGTTATGGCTAATTCAATCAACCAACCAAATAATAATCAGTGTGTGCGTGTTTGGATGTAGATTTTCTTTTGTGAATATACAAACAACATTTGATCCCTGTAATATTTTCATCTTTATTTATAAATAATAAAAGTAATCGACAAAGCTTATGGATAATAATATAAAAAATTCTAATTTATAATCGATAATAATATATGATGATTAACACTGAATGAATGAATGAATGAAGGAGAAAAATTATGGCAATATGTAGATAAAATTATTATTGGTGTTTACAAAACAGGATGAAAAAAATATTATTAATAATATTAATAACGAACGAATAACGAATTTATAATTAACTTTTTCTTTGCATTCATTTATAAATCAATGGATAATAATCTAATGATTTTAGATAAAATAATTAGTTTGATAAATTCTTGATTTTTAGATTCATCCGCATTGTACTTTTTAGTATTGTGAGTATTTTATCGAAAATAGATTCACCTTATCTGTTTTTTATTCAGGGAAAATTTCCAGGATTTTAATTTTCTTTTTTTTGAAGAAATTTTCCAGAATATACAGAATAGTTGGATATACAGAATTTGGAAGAAAAAAATACAACAGAAACAGAATAGGAGAGAAAAAACCACAAATATTTTTTTCTTTGTTGGTTTTCAAAGAAATCAATTTTATTTTGACAAAACAGAAAGAAAACGAAATTGAAATGGTAGGCAGAAATATTTTTTTTCTTGTTATTAAACAATCAATTATTGTCATTAGGTTCATTTCAAAGCGAAAAACAACAACAACAACAAAAACATCCTATCCAATTATTTATCTAATTCAAAAGAAGAAGAAAAATGAATCAAATCGATTGGTATACCATAGAATTATCTGTTTTGATATATTGATTGTTGTGGAATATGAAACTATTTCTTTTTACAAATAAAATTTCTTGAAAAGAATTTGAAATTTCGATGGTAAATCAAACAAACAATCAACAACAGAAAAATGATTGGGAAAAAACATTGTCAATTGGCTAAATAAACGAATTTCAAAATTGATTCTGACAATGACAACACCAGAAAAAAACTATCAACAAACAAGAATCAATGAAAGAATATTATTCTTTTTGTTTGTACTTTGGATCATTGAATTTCTTTATTATTATCATTTTTTTGCCCAAAAAAAACAAAAACAAAAACAAAAACTTGAAACATAACAAAATTCGTTCGAGATTATTTTGGATCAAATAAATGAACAGAGGGCGAAAAAGAAAAAAGAATTCATTCAGAATTCACATTTATCATAACCAACAACCTCGACTATAAAACCACCTAAATAAGTTATATCATTGTTAATGTAAAGTGAAGAGGATAGTCATTATGGTCGAAACAAATTTTTAGTTCATTTTATATAATGGAACCAAAAAAAAACATGATCCATAGATAAAAAATGCTTCGAAAGCTTTATCACCAAAACCATTATCAACAACAACAACAAAAATGCCAACGCCAAAATGTTATCATCGTTGTCTTGTTTGTGTGGTTAGGAGAATATTAACTTGTTTGTTTGTTTGTTTGCTGATGACATTATTTCGATAAATTCAAAATGAAAATTTTCATTAAAAATAATGTTTTTTAAAAAAAGAAACATACACTACTTGGTAGCTAAAGTGTTAATAAATTAATTAATTTTTGTCTCTCTCTCTCGTTCATTCAAGTTGTTGTTGATAATGTTTTTTGTTTTGTTCATGGAGATGGTATCAAAATGAATTATTACACTATAAAGGCAGATGAATTATTTTGGGTGAACAACAACAGAAACATCCAATGGAACATTTCAATGGGTTTTATCATCGTCATCAATATTATCTTATATTTAGTTACTGGAAATTGATCCAACCAAAAAAAACAAAAACAAAAAACAAGATGAAGAAAAATGTTGGCAAATAAATCATAAGGATCTTGTGGATCAAATAAATGGAAATAAAATTTGAACGAAAAACAAAAATGAAAGACATGACGGATGATGACAAGAAGAAATGTAAGAAAAAACTCAAAGAATAATCCATCAAAGAATTCCATCTTCCATTTTGAATTCTGATGATCATGATGTTTCTCATTGGAAAACAACAAACCAAAAACACACAAACAACCTGTATATAAAGTAGTACATTTCATTTGGGGTTTAGCTAATTGAACAACCATTATCGATCAATTCCATTAAGTTTATCTTTCTTTTTTGGATTCAAAATTGATAATCATATCATTTATCAATTATCAATTTGTTTTCTTTTTGGGGTAAAAACCAAAAAAATGTAATGCTGAAATAGTATTTGGAATTGGAGATGGAGAACTACTTTCCATTAAATTCTCATTGTCGAATTGTGTTGTTCAATTTAGATTCAAGAGAATAGATCCAGACAACAACAACAACAACAAAACTGAAACGAAAAAAAAATTCTGTTATCATCAAATTATTAATATCCTAAGGATTTCTTTCATTTTTTCCGAATGAAACAAAAACAAAAAACAAAACTGGCAACAACAACAAAAATGCATGCAGCCTACGGACAAAAAAAACAAACGAAATCGACAAAACAAAACAAATGAATGAATGAATGAATGAATTCAATTAGATTCCAGTAACAACAACAAAGAGAGATTTGACACTCTTGAAAATATGAAAAGAAAAGAAAAAAGAAAATGAATGATTATTGGGGTATATGTACAGGAAATATAGAAATTTGAAATTCTGTTTATAGATAAAAAGTTTTATGTGGAATTATTTTTTCAATGTATAAACACACCAAAAATTGTATACAAAGATAAGAATGATAATAAGATTCGATTGTATCTTTATTTTTTTTTTGTTCCATCATAGCTACCATTTACCAAACAAGAACAGAATTAACGCAATTGGATTTATTCTGGAGAAAAATTCTCTTCAACAAAAAAAACCAATCCAATGCCCGTTAGCATGGTTATTATTATTAGCAAATGATGATTTTTAATTTTTTCTTTTCTTCATTTCATTTCATTTCTTCATACTAAAAATAAAAATAATCTTTCTTTTTCTTTCAAGTTTTTCATATTCTGTACATTCGGTTACTAATGATAATGATTCAATTAATTTTTTTCACTTTACTTTACTTTCTTCCAACAAACCATGAATGAGATTGCATCCATATGATGGGAAGCCTAAAATGTTTTCCATTTTCAATTCTCTCTCTCAATGGCTAGTGGGTGGAGATGAACAGCAAAAAAAAATGAAATTCGTTTTTTTGTCGAAATCAAGAATTTCTTTCTTTTTTCTCTCGTTCCAAATTTTAACAATGTTTATAGAAGAGAAAGAGAAAGAGAGAGAAGAATATTCTTTCGTGTCGAAGCAACCAGAAAAAATGATTAGTTTATTGCGTTTTTTGCTGATAATTCATAGCGTGTGTGTGTGTGTGTTTATCTCCGAAAGAAAGAAAAATTGAAAGATTCGGAAATTAGAAGAAAAAAAAGTGAAAAATGAATTCAATTTCATTTTGGTTCAGCGAAATAATCAGATGAATATTTGAAAATAGGTCAACTAATTCTGATGGTAATTATTATTTTCAAATATATCATCATAAAAGTTTAAAAAAGGCAACAATAAAAAAAAGTTTTTTTTTCTAAAATAAGTAAAATATTGTCGTTTTGGATTTGAAATGAATTTTTCAAGAATAGTTTGGCTTTTTTTTCTTGGAATATGGAAACATCTTCATTCATTTGCATTTTTTTTAAAAAGATGATTCCATTGAATTATTATTATCATATAGATCGGTTGGATAGATAAATATCCGGAAAGAAATAGTTTTTTCTTTCACTGAAAAATCAATCGAAAGTTTGATCCAATATGATGATGAAGAACGAAAACGATCTTTTTTTTTGTAATATAATCAAGATCGATGATCTCTCTATAAATATCATAACCATGAATAGATTAGTTATAACCAATAACAACAACAACAACAAAATTGAAGATGCAAAAAGTTTTTTTTTATAATACTCAATTTCTAGTGAAAAAGGAACAAAAACAAAAAATTCATGAATAATCACAGAATTCACTTGAGATTGAAATATATATTATTCAGAATCAAATCAAATATATTGGTCACTCGATTTGAAAAAAAAAGAATATTTGGAAAAAAAAGATCACATTCGAAATGTACACAATCGGAAACATCGACAATCGATTAATCGATTGTTGTTTTTTTTGCTGTTGAAAAAAACACACGATTCGAATGTTTTCGAATGATTCGAATGTTTTTTTTTCCGTTAGCCGAGCTCAAATTCGAATTTAATGAAAACTTAAGAACAAAAACAAACAGACGGAATTATTTATTTTTTAAAAAAGTCTTAATATAAAATGCTTTTTTCAAACATCGAGGATTTCGTTGATTTTTTTATTGCTTCTTTTTTAAAATTGTAATTATTTTTCAAAAATTTTTTTCCCTGTATAAGTCGAGAATAAAAAATGAATCATGATAATGGCCAAGGGTGAAATTAAGTGTAGAAAAAAAACGAAAAAAAAGATTTGATGAAAACCAAGTAAGTCAGATTTATTATTATTATTATTATTTGGAAAAAAATAATCTAGAACCCTGTGATCCGGGATTTTATTCTGTATGTTGCCCCGAAACAATCCGGAAAATCGCTGACAATGTCTGATTTTAAGAATATTTTGGCCGTCGATCATTGACGTCACAAAATAAAAATTGGGAATTTTTTTATATGTGATCACATTCTTTCACCATTCAAGTCCACCGATATTGTATATTCAACCCAAAATAACTTGGATGATAGATATTGAACCCAATAGAGACCTATAGACATATTGAACAATAGTTATCATTTGTATCATATAACCCTTAGAATTACGGAGAAAAAAAAATAAACCAAATCTCATCTTTCATTTTATCGATTCTCATCATCATCATCATCATTAACATCGTTTCTATGAGACCATTATAGTATTTTTTTTTCTTGCCTATTCGTTTTTCTATCTACATCAACCATTAAAAATTACGAAATTTGAACTTTTTCAATTTTCAATGGTGAAATTTTCTACCTACACACACGAGAATTGAAAAAAACTGGGTTTCATTTTCATTTATTTAATTCATTAAGAATTGAATTTTTTGATGAAAAGAATTGAAAAATATTCTTTCGAATTTGATCGTTGAAAATTAATTATTACAAACAAACATTCATTAATTGTCTTATTTTTATTTCTTTTGTTTCAGGAAAAAGAAAAATAACAAACTTACAAAACAAACAACAGCTCGAAAAAAGGCTTCGACTTCGGCACGAAGTTGATCGCATAACAATAATATTTGTTCACGATGATCATGATTAGTGTATGCTGAATCAGTAAAATCCTGAGTACGTTCAATGGCAGCATCCAATGCAAACATTATCTGTTCTTTAACGTGGCTAGTCATCTGACCCATTTGTGCCAGATCGGATAATTCACAGATTCGTTGTAAAAAATTAACAATTGTTGGACAGGCATCCAATTGTTCATGTAACCATCGTAATGTAGATTCAACGGCTAAAACAAATGAATTGCCCGGTATTGTACGTTGAACACGATGTAATTGGCCACGACGTTGATATTTTGGTATGGAAAACATATCCCTTGACGAACACCTTTGTTGTTGTTGTTGTTGTTGAGCACGTTGTTGTAGATAATCATAACCATATAATAGGGCTTCATTGTGCGGATCAAATGGTAAATGTAATGCTGTTGATGATGATGTTACTGTTGTTGCATTCGATGATGATGATGTTGGCCGATGATAAGGATGTGGTGATGATGAAGATGATGATCCATATGTGGCCGCAGTTGCAGCAGCATGTGAAGCGGCTGCAGCTGCAGTAGCTGCCGCAATTGCTATCGATGTTGATGATGATTTTGATTGATAGGTTACAATACCTTCTTTGACAACAAAATGTATTAAATCCATTGCACGGCGCATTTGAGCAAATACGGTATCACGATTTTCACGAGCCGTTTGACAATCTGGATGTCTAAGACAAACTTTTGATGTTGTCAACAACATCATTGTCGATCTTTCTAATGTTTTACGTGCTGCCGACATTTGTGCCCGACGTTTTTCATTTTTTAAATCCTATTTTTAAAAAAAAATGAAAAAAAATAATAATATTGAATTGTCAATTGATTTATTCGAAGAAAAAATTTAAATTTGAATTGGGCCATATAGAATTTTAATGTACACAGAATTATTTGGAAAAATATATAATAAACAAAACATACATTTTTTCGATCGCTTGTTAAATGTGCCAATTCAACCATTTCCATACCGAAATGTGAAAATGCTTTAACAAATTCAGTAAAATTGGCCACATTTTCCAGCCGATTTAATGACATTGAAACCTAATGATATTTATTTTTTTTTGTTGACATTTGAAAAATTATTTTTCCAAATATAGAAATGAAAAAATGAAAAATTGAATTTTAAATTGATTTTTAATCTAGTACTTACCCTATCTTTACTAGCAACAATTTGTTTAACAACAACTGTATCGGCAACTAATAATACTCTTGTAACGGATGATAATAATGCACGAGCAGCTCTTGCCATTGCTTGACGATCGGCATATTGACGTGTCGTTTCTTCAACACTATTGGTTGTCGATGTTGTTGTTGTTGTATCATGTTGATTATAAACCTGATCAACAACATTATCAATATTTGGATCGTTAATTGTACCGCTTCCACCACCACCACCACCACGAAGACTTGGTGCCGTTAAACTACATAACTGTTCAATTAATGCACCTGCTGTACGTGCATCTTTACATGCATCATACATTTCATTACGAATTTCTGGATTATCATCAGCTATTGATTCACCAACCGATGCAAAACGTTCAACAGCAAAATTAACCGATTGTCCAACACGAACAATTGCACGTAATTGTTTATCATTTCGAATTGGTCGTTCACGTAATTTTGTGAATGAAGAAATCTTGAAATATTGAAAAACAGAAAAATTGATTGAAAATTGTAATTTTATTTATAAGAAAAAAAAATCAATGACAAAAAGAGCTTTTAGAAAAAAATTAACATAGATTCAATTTTTTGAAATGGAAAAGAAGAATTCCACAATTACATTTTTGTCGATGAAAGAAAATCTAATCCAATTCAATTGAATTTTATTCTTCTTGTATTCTTTTTTGTCAATTATTTTCCAAATATCTCAAAATGAAAGTGAAAAAAATGAAAACAACGACGACTACGAAGACTAATAAATTGATGGAAATATGACAATCAAATGCATAGAGGGGGAAGGAAAAATGCACCATTTTTTCGCTCTCAAAATGATATTATAATGAATGAATGAATGAATTAAAATCGAAAAAAAAGTAATAGAGAATTTTGTTTTCCACCGATAATAATAATAATTCAAAGAATTCCAGTTTTTTTTCATTCATTCTATTTGCCATATTATTTCTCAAATATTCTCAATATGTATAATAACATATTTTTGGTTGAGGAAAGCTAGGGAAAAACCAAAATAATCAACCAAACAACAACAACAACGACGACGACGACAATAACAATGATGATAATAATTACATAGTTAATGATAATACTAATGATTTACATATAATAGAAATGAAAAAAAATTCCTGTGGTTTTCTTTTTCCTCTTCTTCATCAAACTTCTGTATATTCAGTTTGTTTTGTTGTTTTTTTGCTTAGGTATCGGTTTTTTTTCTGTCTACCTGAACGGAAATGATGGAATTCATGCGCTGTGTTTCTGTGTGAGAAGGTAGAATGATTGATTGAAAAGAATAGCGAAATTCTGTATAAAATTCCATTCGGTTTTTTCCAAAGTTTCAAAGTTTTTATTACTATAGTATTTGGTGGAATTTAAAATAATTAAAACAACAACAACATGGTGATGATGATGATGATCATCATCATTAATTTAGTTTTTTTTTTGTAAAAGTAAAAATTTCACATAATTTCGCCAAAATAGAATCCTGAATAGATGATCAAATTTAGGCATTTTGATTACAAACAAACAAGATTACAATAATAATAATAATGGCAAGCATTCCATTTTTTTTTTTTTTTGGGGGGGGGGGGGGAAGAGATTCACAAATATAACGGTAAAAAGAAAAAGTTATTTGAAAAAAAATGAAGGGAAA